TTAAAAAATTTGATGATATGATCAGTTATGTATATATACTATGTAGAATTTGATTAGTTGATTATTTCATATGCTAACATATTTTTTTTATCTTTTTATTTTTCTAAAAAAATGTTATCTTTGTTTTTTTAGATATATGATGATTTTGTTTTATTAGATTTCATTCTATATAAATTATTAATTTCGAAATTATATTAAAATATAAAATTAATATTAAATATGTTTATGTATATTCAAAATAGATATGTTAACATATATTTAATTTTGAATTTAATTGTCCACTTTTTATGGTAAAAGATTATTATGATTTCCATAAATATAGATAGTTTTTGTTTTTGTTTTTTTTTTTTTTTTTTTTTTGCTGTCATTAATTATGTTTGGCAAATGGTTTTATTTTCATGAAATTGTTTTTTAAAATTGGGGGGTGTTTGGCTTCAAGTTGTCCTTCCCAATTAATAGTATAGATAGTGAATTAGTTAAATTTGGGTATTGTATACAGTTATAATATAATTTATTTTAAAATTTTAAATATGCGGTTAACCGAGCGTTTAACCGTACGGTTAACCGACGATTAATTACGGTTAATTATGGTTACGGTTAATTAACGGTTACGATTATTATTATTTTTTAACCGTAACTAATTTACTTTTACGGTTAACGGTTACAATTTTTAACCATTTTATACGGTTACGGTCCGGTTACGGTTGATAAACGGTCCGGTTACGGTTAAAAATACGGTTAAGGTTAGCTTTTGGTCATGCCTATACAGCGACGTCCTACATTTTGTGAAGTGACAACGCTATTTAGTTCCGTAATAAACTGGAAAAGTCAAGGTTAATAAGGTAAATATACTTTTTCCGTTCCTAACTGACAGATTCTTTCAAGGCAAAAAGGCAAAACACAAGGGGAAAAAAAAAAAAAAAAACCACCTTTTTTTTTTCTTCTTCAACATCGTTCTTTCTTCTTCGCGACTCCGGTCGGGGAAAAAAAAATCGCCTCGCCGTAACCGTATTCTCAGCTCTAATGACCGACCCAGAGGTAAAAATCCCATTTTTAATCCCTTAATCTCCGGCGTTCTCGACTTCACATTCCGAATTGAAATGGACAAAATAAAAAATGCTTTTTTTTTCTTCTCTGTTTCGTTTAGGTTTCATTTCTCTTAACGAAGAGCTGTTGTCTCTGATTTCGTTTTCTGCTATCGTGTATTGATCCGAATCGGTGTTTCGGTTATGGGTTTTGTATTTTTCATTTCTGGGTTTGCATTTTTGCGATGAATTATTTCGTTTTCTTCAGCAGAAATTAACCGCCTTGAAGAAGGCTTACGCGGATACGATACTGAACACGGCCAAGGAGGCGGCGGCGCGTGTGCTGATATCCGAGAAGAAAGCTCGCGGGTTTCAGCAAGAGCTCGCCGCGGTTAGAGATGAGGCTCTCCGTACCTGTCTTAGGCTTAAACAGATGTATGATTCCAAGGTAATTTTACGAAATGTAGATTTGTTTCTGTCAAGTCTTAAACTTGAGAAATTTTTCCAAGTTGTTTCATGAGCTGATGTTTTCACATTGATTTGAGGATCAAGTTTTGACATTTATGAGCTTTGTGTGGTGACAATGAGCTGTGTTCTTTGCATCCTTGGAATATCTTCCATCCAGTTTCAGAATTATATGCTTTGGACACCTTTTCTTCGTTGTGTGTTTTGCTCCACTGAAAGCGCTGTTGAGAATTTTTTTTGTGAATTATTTATCTGGAGTCTCCAGACTGGAGATTACACTTGGTTAGTTTTTTATGTACCTCAACTCAATTTATATTATGATGAATTAGCCTTGGAAGGATGTCATTTTTGATTTCCATAGACTCACATAGAATAGATCTTATAGTAGTTCAAATGCTGTTTTGGAAAGAGATTTTATTGGTTAGTTCTTTGCTCACCCGTCTATAAAACTAATGGTCATTGTAGAGCAGAGCATAGTGTGTCAAATAAATGTTAGGAGTAAACTGTGAATCAACCATAAATTTGATGAGTATCTGTAGGGATGACCTAGGTAGTTTGAGAAGCTGCTCTTTGGTTTACACTTATTACAGCAACTCACAGTTTGATCGAAGCAGTTTAGCTTGACACTGTAGCACATTTTCTTGAGGATAGAGTTCATAATCACTATATTGCATTTTCTTCTTCAAATCTATTTCATTGAGAAATCTGTGACAATAGGTCAAGGAGGCAGAAACTATTTCTTTGAAGAAGCAGCAAAAGATTGAGGAACTTGAAGCTCAACTTGGAGAAGCTGAAGACATAGTAGGAGAGCTAAGGACGGAATTAAGAGAATCACGTTATCTCCTGGAGAAATTGACAAACGATCGTAAAACAAATCCTAGCAACGAGGAATTAAGCACCAACAAAGCAGTTTCTTTAGAAGTGCGTGAGGACTCTAGCAACCATGAGAGATCAGTTGTGGCTAATGGGATCAAACCACATATGAGTGACAGAGATATTAGTATTAAACGGTGTTCTTTTAAGGAGAATAAAGATCCTTGTCTTCATACTCTTCCTTCCATACTAAGTAGACGCAGAGAAGTTGAGACCGTAGAAAGGAACACAGCCAGTGGAGATTGTGCTGATGTTGTGAAATCACCTACAGACGCAAGGAAGGAAGAAGAGAAAGAGATTGATATTGAGCATTCTACACCTTTGTCGCCTTCGAAGAAATCGTGTATCAACTTCTTGTATAAGAGGAAGCGTACCAAGGATGGAAGAAGCAGCAGCAGCAGCCCTGAAAGAGGAGGTTCCTCCTCACAAGATGATGATGACGATGAGATGAGAAACCAGAGACAAAAGACTGGTGAGAAAGACAACAGTTACTTGGAATCTTTCACCGGTACAGAACCATCTCGTGATAGTCGACGTGTAGCTCAGGTTGCTCGTCAGGTCAGTAAATCTAAATAAGTAAAATATACATAGTTTGATTGTGGAGAAGTTTTGTTTTCTTCTTGATGTGACAGGTTCTGATCACTGTCCATGTGTTTTATATTACCATTCTCTGTAATAAAAGTTGACTTGAAAATTTCGTTGGTGTTCAAGATTCTGACCTCTTGTTTTGTTGTTGTTTCTTTGTTGGCATAGCTTTTACCGTTCTCGGAGAAGAAAGTGTTGCATCAGAGTCAGTGTGATGATGTTCCTTGACTCACAAGTATTTATGGAAGATCCTATCATCCATCCGAGGGCTAAGAATGGTTGATTAGAGAAATTAGCTGTACTAGTAAAAAGATTGGTAGCGTAGATACACATCCATTCTCAAGCTTTATAAACTAATGGAAAAAAAGCTAATTTTGGTCGTTAATTTAGATATGTTCTCACAGCTAATCCATCCGAGGTCGTTTCTCTCTATACATTGACTAATCCAAAACCACCAATGCTAGTTTTGAAATTCAACAAACATAAATATATATATACATTACTTACACATGCCCGGCTTTGATTTTCTCCGAGCCTTAAGGTTTAAGAACTGAGCAATTTCCCACTATCCCACTTTCTTTTTTTAATGAGAAAAGCAGATTCTATTTGTTTTTCTTCGAGAACCTTTTGTAACAAAGAAAAGTCATATAGCTTGAATATATCGAATATCGACTTATCAGGGTCTTGCGAAGTTTCCTCAATGCGCCGTTACCTTTATTCTATAAAACTCTTCTATATTTCCACGAGAGATTCTTTTATATTAGAATAATATCGTTCTGTGTGTGTGTTTTGAAGGTTCCAGATGATTATAAAAGTAAAGTTAAAAGACGAAGAAGCAAATCAATAGAAGTCATATTTGTTCAAGAACGTAAGGTTTGACCACGCACACAAGATAAACACGTCTCTTGATGTATATATAAACACAAATATAGAAAATGAGAGAGAATCACAAGCACCTTAAAATAATTACTCATTAGCTTTTGGTTTGTATTCGATCAACTCAAACTCATCATCACAAGCTTAATGGACGGAACATCGTGGGCTGACCAATGGGACAATAGCGGCGACTCAGCCAAAGGAGGCCGAACGGGGGGAGGGGCAGTCGTCAGAAGCGGCGGAGGTGGAACAAAGTCGAACTCCAACACGGCTAAGTACAAGGAGAAAATGGGACAAGGTTTCGACAAGACCAAAGCTGTAGCTTCTTCTGGTTTCAAGAAGCTCAAGACTGGTTCTGCTATTGGTTTTCGCTGGGTCAAGGACAAGTATCACAAAACCACTCACAAATAGTAAAGTTTATCAAACTCCCATCTAGAGAGTTGCATGTGTATTATTTATTCACTTTGGCAAATATTATGCCTGTTGTATATCTTTTTTTTGTTTTTTTTTTTTTTTTTAGTTTGTTTGATTGATATATACATATGTTGTATTCATGTGATTTAATTAAATTGATTTAATTAAATAGATACAATGTATATATATATATATACGCATATAATTAGTTCATCAACTTAAAAATGTGATTTTTAAGAAAAAAAAAGACGTGGAGGGAAAAATTCCCTCGCCTTTTGCACAAATCCGCTAGCATTTAATCTTAATGACCGGCGAATCAGAAACCCTAATTAGCGGTTACCGCCGTTAGAATGATTTGACGGCGATCGAGGAGGAGGAGGAGAAGAAGATGTCGATAGAGATGCCAAGAGGTTTACCATTTGCCGTCGACACATTTGGGCCGTACACGACGACGAAGAGAAGAAAGAGACATCATTTCTTAACTCACGCTCACAAAGATCACACCGTTGGGATTTCTCCTTCTAACATCGTCTTCCCCATTTACTCTACTTCCCTCACCATCTCTCTTCTTCTTCTACGTCACCCTCAGGTCTTTCAATCAGTAACCTCTCTCTTTTTATCTCTTCGTGTGTATTCGTTCTCTGTTGGTCTCAGTGAGAATTGTGTGTGTAGCTTGATGAGTCCTTCTTCGTGAGAATTGAAATTGGGAAATCAGTGATTGTTGATGATCAAGATGGTGAATTTAAGGTTATTGCTTATGATGCCAATCATTGTCCTGGTATGTTGTTCCTCTGTAGCTTTCAAAATTGTTTTTGATTTGTTAAATTGAGATCCCTATTTTGATGAATTTCATCACTTTGAAAACTTCAGGAGCCGTCATGTTCTTGTTTGAAGGAAGTTTCGGTAACATACTTCACACTGGTGATTGTAGGCTTACACTGGATTGCCTACAGAGTCTGCCTGAGAAATTTGTGGCAAGTAGACATGGCATGGCTCCAGAATGCTCTCTTGATTACGTTTTCTTGGATTGTACATTTGGGAAATCCTCTCACTCTCAGAGGTTTCCTAGTAAGCATTCAGCTATTAGACAGGTGATTTGGCTTAATCTTTTCACCTTTTCTTCATGCATTGGAACGGTTTCTCTATTTTTCATTGTGGTTTCTTTGCTCATGGAATCAGATCATCAATTGCATATGGAACCACCCAGATGCACCAGTTGTTTATCTTGCTTGTGATATGTTGGGCCAAGAGGATGTTCTGTTAGAAGTTTCTAGAACTTTTGGCTCTAAGATATATGTGGACAAAGCTACAAACTTGGAGTGTTTCAGATCGTTAATGATTATAGTTCCTGAAATTGTCTCTGAGGATCCTTCTTCCCGGTTTCACATATTCAGTGGGTTCCCTAAACTGTATGAAAGAACAAGTGCCAAACTTGCTGAAGCCAGATCGAAACATCAGAGTGAACCTCTTATCATCCGCCCTTCAGCTCAGTGGTATGTTTGTGATGAAGAAGATTATTTGGAAAATGGAAGTCAGATTCAAAAGCAGAGAAAAGTTAGGTTTAGTGAAGCTGTCAAGGATGAGTTTGGTCTTTGGCATGTGTGCTACTCAATGCATTCATCTCGTGAAGAATTGGAAGCAGCGATGCGGCTTCTTTCTCCGAAATGGGTTGTATCAACAGTTCCTTCTTGTAGAGCAATGGAACTGAACTATGTGAAGAAAAACTGTTTTATCAGTCGGTTTTCGCCTGAGGATCCTTTCTGGAAGCTTCTAGACATCGACATGGAAGTTTCTCCAGTTCCAGCAGCTGATACTCACACAGTAGCTCTTAGTTGCTGTCTCATGAGTGAAGAAGTTAGTGTTGATTCAGCAAAATCGAAGCTAGAACCTGTAATTGAATCGTCTAGCACGAAGAAGAAGCTTCTAAGTTTATCCCCTGAAAAAAATCTTCCTGTAACACTGTTTGGGAGAGCAAGGCTAAGTTCTCAGTTATCTGACCAACTACATGAGAGAAAAGTCATACACACTCGGTCTGTATACACCAAAACCTCACCGGTATTGGAAAAGCTGAGTGTAGAGGAAGTAATTGGGTCTTTACAAGATGATGATACTAAAGAAGAAGCAGTAGAGAAGGAGTCTGGTAGAAGCACTTCTTCTTCTTCAAAGGAGATTTGCAAGGATCTTAGTGGGGATTTGATAAAACTATACAGATCAATGAACGCGCCTGTGCCCCGGCCGCTACCATCATTGATGGAGCTTATGAACGCTAGGAAACGCTCTCGGAATCGCTTGAGTTTCTAGCAATTCAAAACATACACAATAGTGCATGTTTTTATATCCGCCTGCATTTGACATCCTAGTCTAATGATCACATTTACAGTCTCAATCCCTCAAAAGATATACATAATTTTTTCCTTTGTTTGAGAATACAGTTTGTAATGATTGTAACATTGATTATTTTTCCATTGTAACCATTTATTATAACTTAAGTCACAATTTTTTTTAAAAGAAATTCTAAGATATGCATGGCTTTTATCAAAAACAAAAACCATAATAATAAATAAATTAATAAGGATAATTATGATTTGATATACATACACAATCTTGCACCTCTATAAATAAATAAAATCAGATCAACCGTAATCCTGCGGTCTCAGATGCTGGCACAATCAAAGCATGTGTAACCATAGTCACGTTGGATGAATCAGTACGAACATTCTCGATTACTTGGCTCGCGGGCTACGTCATGGAAGATGAAGGGCTTAGTAGTAGAGAAGACGTTAATGATCTTCTGGTGGAAGCAGGTTTATCCTCCCGAACACTATTTGTTTGCTTTGACCGACGTAGCCAACGATCGTATCATCGAAGTCACTTACTCAGTTGATTATAGCACAGATTGTGCTTTGTATCTCAAATTGAATTGTTGTGATCATCTTTCCTTTGACGATACCGTTAATTATATAAGCTTTAGACCCACAACCGAGCTAGCTGTCAAGTCTCTTACCAAGAAACTATACTATAAGAATAGCTCTATAGGTGATGAGTGCACAATTTGTTTGGAAGAGTTCAAGGATGGAGCAAGAGTTGTGACTTTACCATGTGGACATGAGTTTGACGATAAGTGAATTGTACAGTGGTTTGCGACCAGTCACTTTTGTCCATTGTGTCGTTTCGAGTTTCCTCCTGAAGATCGAGGGTTAGATTGACAAATTGTCTTAACGTTTGTTGTTAGTTTAATTTAGTTCTATAATTCCCCCAATATGTTAAAACTTAAAAGTCGTCTTGTCGAATTAACATACGTTAAACAGCCTTTTGATTTTGTTTTCCTTTTTTTTCTGGTTTAAGAAACAAAAGCATGAGAGTAGTGTGATGACTCTCTTAAACATTGTCTTTTGTATTAACCCCAAAACAAAAACAAAAAACGAATGAGCAAAAAAACTTAGATGAGGTATATTAACAGAAAATGTTAGCTAAGGGTCTTGGCTCTCTCTCCCTCTCTATATATATACATTCAAAGTAGAGAAGAAAGGTTTTCAGATTCTGATTTCATCCGTTTTGAAGATTGAATATCATTGACAGAAGAATCATCATGACTTGATGATGATGATGATGTATCAATGTTTTCTTCAACAAGCTTTCTCTTGTTAGAAAGGCTTCTTAAGGTTTTGCATTCCTCACTTTCATTTCTCATTATAAGTTGTTTAATTCGCTTTACATCAGCTAGTTTCACCGGTTTCAACAAGAAGTCCTCTGCTCCTTCCTTGAGACATCTGTATATAGAAGAAGAAGATTATTAGCCTCATAGTTTAACATTACCAAAAATATGATCTGACTTGTATGAGTAGACATAACACGATCACTTACTCTTCTATACGAGGTAAGATGTTCTCAGATGACATGATCACTACTGGTACTTCTCTGAATGCTGAAGATTCCTAGAAAAAAAAAAAAGAGTTTGTTTGAGCGTTTTTAAAAAGCTTTTTATTCAAGTTTGTATGATAGATCGAAATAGATAATTTTGATTATTACCTTAATCTTCTTGAGAAGATCATACCCTGTTAGTCCTGGCATTGAGTAATCCGTCACTATCAAATTCACCTTCAAGTCCTGTTATAAAACGAATCATCAAAATTGTTAATAAAACTACACTTTGACAGACTCAGTTCTTATTACCAAAATCAATAAGTAGAAAGGCTGATCTATTCCATTCTCAAATCCGGATGATCATAAAAACAAGAAGCAAGAGCAAAAGTCTCTCTATCCTTAGGATTTATGAAAGAAACAGATTCGTAGATAACAAGAAAATAAAAAGGTTTCTTAAGAACCTTGAGATTAGAAGCTCCTTTGTCTCCATCTAAGCCAAGATACTGCAAAGCTCTAGTTCCACTCTCTACAGTCGTCACTGCAATAACAAAAACAAGAGACCACTCATAAGTAAACAAAAAAAAAACAGAGGATAGTTAAAAATCATATAACAAACAAAATAAAAACCAGAGCTGAGCTATATAGCCTATAGTAGAAAGAGAAAGAAACATTTTACCTTTACAAGAAGAGATTCGAAGCAACCTCTCGATGACTTTACGATCCACAATACTATCATCAACGGCGAGAACATGTAACTCCGGGGGAGTAACAGTCAAATCTCCACCGGCAGGAATCTCCATCCTCATAACATCACCGACTGCCATTTTCAACAAACTCAGAAGAATAAAAGAAAGAGAAGATAGTAGTAAAATTGGTTAGAAGAAAGAAATAAAGCTTTGGATTTGGATTTGGATTGAAGACAAAGGAAACTAAAGAAGAAACCAATGTGATAAAAGGAAGAAGAAGAAGAAGGAAGGAAAAAGTTTAAAGTTAGGTGGACATAAATATGAAAGAGAGGTGGTGGGGTTTTTTAATAAGTAATCAAGTTTACTATAGGGAGGAGGAGAGATTCGGAAGATCGGATCTTGCGGGTAAGATCTTTGAAGAGGAAACAAAATCTTAAAAACAGGGTCAAGTGTTTTTGATGTTATGTGTTTTGGGAAGTGTCAGAAAGACCAAACAAAGGGGTTTGTGTTCAATTTCGAAAGATTTTTGTTTGGTCTGTTTCTTTCAATCCGACAGCGACTACTCCCTTCTTACGACAGCGACTACTCCCTTCTTACGTGGAACTTTCCTTCTTGTTTTAGTAATTTTTTTTTTCTTTTTTACCTACTCCCTCAATATTAGTTTGCATTTTCTACTACTCCCTCAATATTAGTTTGCATTTCTAAGTTCAATTAATTCTAATTTATAGTCTCTTATATATCTTTTCTTTAGTTAGTGATTAATTCATTATTCAATTATATATAGTCTACTAAATTTACATATGAATAATGCCATGATGTCGATATCAATACAAGTATTTAACATATAAACTATAAAGTATTATATCATCCATTTATAGCATAATCTACCACTTGTGATATTTCTTTCTTTATTTGCGTTAAATTAATACTAGGTTATCTTAATTTTTTGGGAGATTTATAAAAATAGGCACTTTTGAGGAGAGAGATTCGGTTTTAGGCATTACAATAGTGAAAAGCATTACTGTACATGTAAACATAACTGTATCTGACATTTTTACCCTTTTGTTTATCTGACCAAGATCTGAAATGATTCATGCGAAGAAGAAGTTGTTGCTGAAGACGCATCTCACCGTGACGGAGAAGAAGCCACCGGTGAACTGATGTTGAAATTGCATTCGTGAAATCTATTAACTGGAAGTAACGAATCAAAAGAAAAACAAGATTGTTTTTTTTTTGGTTAAAAAAACAAGATCCGAGCTTTTGTAATAAGAAAATGAAAAATCATGTGTATCTGCTTTTTAAAGGAGAAAAACTAAACCCTAATAGATAGTAATTAGGGAACCCAAACATTGTTCATAAAATCTCCTCTGTCACTGAATTCCCAGGTTTAGTTTCAAATTCTTCAAATGATAAGAAGAGAAGGGAAGAGATGATGTTAATAAACTAAGGACATAAACGTCTTTTACATTGTCAAAATACCTGTTTTAGTAAAAAAAATAGAATATCCTAAATCTGAAGAGTAATCTAAGACAAATGCCTTATTTTTAATTAATTCTAATTTTTTTCTCTACGTGAATAAGGGTTTTTTTTTTTCTCTTTTTCTTTTGAACGACAAAAGAGACATTTTTTTATATATTGTTGACATCGTTTTCAGTTGAGTTTTCCTTTAGTAAATTGATTTTTATTTGAATGCAATAAAGGTGCTGTGTTTAGTGGACCATTGTGTGATTTGTGAATCTCTTTTGCTTTTAGACAAAATCTAGAGAGAAAAATATGGACAAAGTATTTTCGGGTGGATCCTTTTGTCTCTATTTTAACATTTTCTAAGGAAATTGCAAGAGGGCCAAGGCAACAGGGCATAAGATTTGGTTTGATATTAATAAATTATGAATGTAGATTGTGTCGATATGTATTGAACTATTGATAGATATATGATATATCAAATTAGTTTCTTATTATACGACTCGGACCACATCCATATCATTTATATAGTAATATTTTTGCCTAGTTACAAGGTTTTTATTATTTTGCTACAAAGGGGTTATTTTCTTTTCCATCAAGCTAAGGTTAACATAATTATGTTTTATTTTCACTTAAGTTGTGATTTGTGAGTTGTGTTTTTTTTTTTTTTTTTTAAGTTGACCATTGTGCGATATTGTGAAAATTCCTTTTGGAAAAATCTAGACAAGAGTAAAAATCTTCAAAAGTTATGGAGGACAGGTTCCTTTATTATATATGTCATAACATCTTTTAGCCGATTGCGAGAGGACGTAGACAACATTTTGGTTTCTTATCTTTTAATTTAGAATCTTGCAAATTTTTCGTATCGATTTGATATGATAGATATCTACAACAAAATCAATATGAGTAAATAGCCTTCACACCTAACAACAGCTCCAAAAAAAAAAACATAAGAAAAGTAAAAAAATTAATTTCTGAGATGTTTCTCCACATGTATAAACATTGGATGATCGTGCCAAACAGAAAAACATTGGTGATAAGAACATTACTCAAAAAAGAAAAGTAAAAAACCATCAGTATGTTTCACATTTTCTTACCTTTTCAAAAAGTTGGTTTCGATATCACTGCATGCAATTTCATATGGAATAATAAATCTTACTTTGAAAAGCTTTATCTTTTTCCCAAGATTTTGATGTCTTATTGTGTTTAAAACTTTCACCTTGATTTTATACAGAATAAATCTAAGTTATCAAGTACTTGATATTTATGAAAAGAAAAGAAACTGAACCACTAAAAATGTTTTATGTATTCAATTTCATTATAAGTCAATAATCTGATTAGTGTTTAATTTGTCTCTCATAATCTAGTTAAACAAAACTTTCTCAAAAGAAGTTTAATAAATGTACACATAGGCAGTTGAAGAGAGAAAATATAAAAATATGTTCTCCCTTTGTTAGTTTTTGTAATGACTTAACATTTTGAGTTTTTTTTTTTTTTTTTTTAACTATACAACTATATTTGTATATTTTTTTCAGGTGCAAACAAATTTGCTTACAATCTCAAGTAACGGTGAGTGACCAAAACAAAATACAGTATTAGTTATTTACTGATTTCCTCATAATAAAACCATTGATTTCCAGCTCATTGTTAGCATGCTTATATTTATATATGACAGTAATCTATACAAAAATTGATACAATGTTTTAGTCAAACTTTTGTTCTATCAAATATAAAGACCTAATTTGTCTAACATGCTATAATAATAAAGTTTGACGAGAATATTTGACTGATATATATATATATATATATATATATATATATATATATATATATTGCTAATTAGATGGTAAAAAAGACATATATATCACAGGTATGGTTCAAATGTAAATGATCGTGTGCATGTTCAAATTATCGGGTCACGTTGTAATAGGTGTGAAGCTGTGTGATATGTCTTTTTACCATCTAAGCAAAATATGGTAAATAATTAAATTATCCAATACGTATTGAGAAGATTTGAATGAAATAACAAAATATATTTACCATATACGTAGCATGGATAAATCATTATTTGGTTGATGTTTGAGACTTGAGAGTATTCATAAAAGTATTTAATTACGCAATGTTTAATGGGCCTTGTAACGTGAACCACATGGGCCGTCTTTATAAAGTTGTTCTGTCAGGAAATTGGAAGTAAAAAAATAAGAGTCAGCACGTTCCCCTCCCTCTCTGTTCTTCATTGAAACATAGGTTTCACAGAGAATTGCACCGATTCTTCAAAAGAGAGAATTTTCAGCAAATTTGGACAGGATTTAAATGTGAATCTATTCCTCTGCAATAGCGTTTGGGAGCAAGTAATTTGTTTTTTTTCTTTGTTCAAATCTTCTATATCTCTTCAGGTTTATTTATCTCACTTTCAGATTTTGCAGTGGGGAGGATCTGAAAATATTGAACCAGATTAAATTAGGAGGGTGGGATGGATAGGATCAACGGTCTATCAGATGATATAATTTGCCACATTCTATCTTTCCTTCCGACAAAACAGTCTGCTTTAACTTGTGTCCTCTCAAAGAGATGGCGTAATCTGTTTGCATTGGCACAGGATCTTCATTTAGTTGATGATGATGCTCTTGAAGTGGGTTGTGCACAAAGCTTCATAGATTTTGTGGATAGGGTATTGGTCGCGCCAGGCGATGCCTTCCCCATAAGGAAGTTGTCGATAAAATGTAGGAAGAGTATCGACTCGGGTCAGTTCACCTGCTGGATGTTTGACGTGTTGAAACGTGGTGTCGTTAATCTTGATATAGACGTCATCGCTTACAAAGAGGCGATTTTGGTCCCTGTTGAGATGTTCACTTGCAGGACGATGGTCGAGCTTAAACTAGCGAAAAGGTTCGAGGCTTTGTTACCTGACGATGTGTCTCTTCCATCACTTAAGACTCTCTTTCTTGATCGGATTTTTTTCTATAATGCTGATTACTGTGTCTTGGGAAAGATTCTTTCTGCTTCCCCTGTGCTTGAGGAATTAACCATTTGTAATTTTGGGAGCTGGCAATATGGAAGATGCTGTCGCTCTCTGTCCTCTTCGACCCTAAAGAAACTTACTATTCAGTGTCCTGATCAGTTTGAATTTTGGGACATGACGTTAGATGCTCCGAGTCTCACCTACTTAGAATACAGTGATTTAGTTCCTAGAGAGTATCCAGCTGTGAATCTTGAATCCCTTGTTGAAGCTAAGCTTGATCTTCGATTATCTTTTGGTACTAGCAATCCAACAAATCTGATTAAGGGGTTAACCAATGTTGAGGTCTTGGATTTGTCATCTGTTGCTACTTCTGAGGTAAAGAATGATCTCTTTCTATGTAAGATGTTTCTTATTGCAATATGGACTTGACACGTTTCTTGAGGTTTTTGGTTCCAAAGGCTGCAATTGGTTGATGATTATTGACTGAATAGTTGCTTTTGTATTTTTTTTCAGATGTTCTATTTTTTCTGTGAAGTAATCCCAGTGTTCAGCAACCTAATTCATTTATCTATTACAACTGATTTAAAGTTCTACTGTTGGAAGCACTTTCCAATACTTGTAGAAAGATCTCCAAATCTACACACTCTTGTCATCAAGGTATTACCGAAACCCCGCAAGTGTATTGGACAAACTACTCAAATCTCTAATCTCCCCTCTTGGTTTAGGGTCCATTGCATGCTAATGAATGCAAACATGAATTTGGATTGTCAAGTCCTGTGAAAGTATTGAAGATAACCGAGTATGGAGGAAAAAGTGGAGAGCTAAAGCGAATGAAATTCTTCCTCGAGAAACTGTCATGTCTTGAGCTTGTCAAAGTTCTTGCTAGTGCAATAAATGACAAGGAAATGTCTCGAATCACCAAAGATCTGCTAATGGTTCCTAGATCGTCCAACTGCAACATCAAGATCAAAAGTTTTCTTAAGTAGTGCATGAAAAACAAACTATGTTGAATAATTACGTCTGTTATCGAATTGTGTGCACATTTGGTCTGTGTCTAGTGTTTTATCTTCTTTTGAACATGAATTGGAAAACAAATCTCTCAGTGTAGAAAGTATGTAAAAATTGTTGTGGACCATGCCTCTGTTGTTTTCAATAGTTATTACCAACATTACAACCACACAGGCGGTTCTTGTTACTTCAATGCCTCTGCAATCAGCCAATCACCCAGGACGGCCCAAGTAAGCAACTCTCTCTAAACACTTTTTTTTTCCAGTTATCAAAGCTCTTTTATTGATCGAGACCTTGAACCATCCGTGTCTGATTGTCTCATGATTTGGCAGGTCCGGGTTGTTGGTATTATGAGTATATCCCTGATTAAAAAGTAAGGGCTAAGATGAGATGAAAGATGAAGAGTAGAGTGGATTTTTCCATTATATTTCACTTAGATATCATGTTTTTCCATCGTTACTTCTGATGCACAATAAATATGATTCCAATCTTGTAAGTTTCTCTTTTCTATTCTGCAGTCTAATGTAGAATCTGGTTATATACATAATCCCTTCAGCATCCAAGTGAACTAATACAGGAAGAAGCTTTGTGGTAGGGACTATATTAAGCCATCTCTTAGGAAAACAGGGAGTTCATATGTTAGATTAGACAAGCAAAAGCATGAAAAGCTCACTATAGAACACCACACATAGGGGGGAAAAAGGTCCTTGGAGTCTCTTCTGCGAGGTCGGACGGAGCAGGGAATGTCATGAGAGTATCTGATGAAGAAGTACAGGTTGACCAGAATGTCAGACAATAAGGTTAGTTTGCTTGTCAAGTCGTATTTTCATATTATATATCAAGCAACTCAAATCGAATCTTCTCTTTCCAGTAAATATTTCAAAAGAGGTGATTTGTTTTCAAGAAGCTTAGTTTGATAGGCTTAAGACATAGAAAGAGGAGTGTATGGGCCGAGTAATTTGAGTCAGAAAGCAAGAAAGGAATGTTAAGAGAAAACATATATGTTGTTTAAAATTTGAAGAGGAAAGAATATGATAACATCCAAGCTTTAGGGAAAAAAGGAAGCTCGTAAGCCTTCTTTTCATGAATATGCAACAACATTTGATTTTACCTATGTCACATAATGGTAATCTTACATGTCTGTTTATCATCTTGGATTTAATCTTATTCGTGAGGTTGCTATGTGAGAGCCTTTTCTGTTAATACAATTATTTTCTGGTGTGACTTATTTGGTGGGTTTGTTACTGTTGTGTGAAAGGTTGCAATTAAGCCTAGATGACTCGGCTGGTGATGGGACAACCACTGAGTCTCAACTTATTGACTGTCAGTTCTGTTGCTAATCCTGTTTTGCTCATGAAGGGAATCAGTAAGATAGTTTTATGGGTTTTGATCTAAGAGCTGCAGAAGAAAGCTAAGCCTGTTAAAGGTCGTGATGACATCAAAGGTAACTATTGAGCGAGCTTCCTGTAATGCAATGTCAATCTAATTAAAATCAGTTTCATATCATGTATTTTATATATAATTTGTAGCTTCCATCTCTGCTGGAATTGAAGAGCTTATAGGAACAATGAGTGCTGATGCCATTGACAAAGTTGAACATGATGGTGTTTTCTCTATTTAAGGGATGAGAGAGGTCGAACTAAGGGTTCGAATGGCAAAACATGTTAAGCAGAGCAGATCAAGTATTTTAGGCAGATCTAATAAAAAAAAAAGCAGATCAAACAGATTTGGCAGTTCAAGTGCATATCAAATATTAAACACTTTAAAATAGAGGTGTTTGATCTGCTCTGAAAAACCATGACCATAAAATAAATTTTTTTTTTTTTTGGTCCACCTACAGATTTTTAGCAGGAGAACTGGCTTTATAGATGATAATTATTAATTTTTATGAATGGTGAACAAAGTGCAGTTAATCTGTCCCACTATATATCTGCTTTATATCTGCCTTTCCATTCAAAGCCTAATTAATACTGCTGTTATTATAACTGTGGCTAGTTTTGGTTCTTTCCTTGGTTACATATCACCTCAGGTTGTAAAAGCACTGAGAAACCTACTAGATGAGTTTGAAATTGTTAGGGTGCTTACCACTGATCAGAAAGGATCTGTGTTATGAGTCTAATGACTAACATTTGATCTTATTAGCATATTTGTGTGCCATTTGTCTTTTTCTTTGGAAATATTTTTATTTTTGATCTAATGAAAGAGTCTAATGAAGTTGCAAAATAAGTACTTGGTTCGTTATTTTTTATATATATTTTTTTCGAAAACACCCCCAAACAAATTTACCCTTAATCCCTTTTTAAAGTTTTTCACAAATAAGTGTTTGAAAGATTTTAGGAAAATCATCTATAATATGTCAAGGGTACTCCTGTGAAATATTGCTCTTAAATAAAGAAATGTTAAATGCTTACGGGAAAATACTATTTATATCAGTTCTACAAATCTTTTTTAAATTATATTCTGGAAAATTATATTATATGTAATATGTATGTTCTGGAAACTATTTTTCAAAAACCAGTAATACTGTATAATAATACTTTGTATGTATTAGGCTTACCAAAAACAATACTTTGTATGTATTTTAGTTCGATACATCCATCCCATCCCTTGAATATTTTAAACCTATCATTTAACTAATTTGTTATAGTGAAATGTGCTGCATAAATCAAGTTACTTCTACAGTAATTGTAATCAAGTTAATTCTATAGTAATCAAGTTAATTACGTTTTTACTTTTGAAAGAAATAAAGTATATTTTCACATAACCACGATTAAACCCTTTATAAACCCCGAGTGACGGTTAGAGAGAGACTCCCGAATCATACTCCTCTGTTCTTGAAATCTCTAAAAGAAAAGAAACTTCTTCTTCTGTTTCAGTTCTTTTCTCATGGCGGCGAACGAGTGTAGCCGATGTGGTTCCGAGACCAATTTGCTGCTCTTCATCACCTGCAGGCATGCGACTGTTTGCTTGCAGTGCGGTAAATCAATGGCGGAAACGAAAGAAACTTGTCCCGAGTGTGGAATCGTAGTCACCACATTGTATAAGGTAAAGTTTTGACGGTTCTGGTTTTGTTTCTTTGGAAGAATCTAAAGAGTCCGTTGGTCGCAAATCAGGAATTTGGTCTTCGTTTTTGCTCGGACGACGAGAAGAAATACTACGGTGCTAAGTTCGAGAGGGGAAGGGATCTTCCGGATATCACAAACGAGTCTCTGAACAAATCTTCCGATGTGCAATTGTCGAACAAGGAACCGTGGACCTTGGAGGATCAAGCGGGGATCAAGTACGAAGGAAAGCGTGTTGAGAAATCACAATCATCGGAATTATTTTTCTTGCGGAGGGAAGGCGATGAATTTGTGGCTATTCCGTGTGCCGAGTGGTATTGACGGACGAAAACGATTCTTCTTTTGTTCTGTTTCTTGTGTTATAATTCAAGCTTTGACATATTTATTGGTGGGGGAAAATCACATTTAGTTTTTCTCTTGTCTTCTAGTTTTACGTTCACAAGAATTCATTCCGGTTCCCATCTTACGACTGAACAAGCTGAGGAGAGAATGGAGAAAAGCCGTGAACAAGCTGAAGAGACGATTCAGAAATACAATAAGCGCTCGAGGACCGGTCAGACAAAACCAACATCCACCTGTGACAAGCAAGATGATTCACTTGAGAAAGGTAAAGCCTGTTTTTCAAGGATCGTACGTTTCCTCTTCAATTTACTCTTTAACTGGATGTCTCTGTCTCGTAGGCGAGCATTGGGATCATGAATCCATCTGTTCGGATGATGAGGAGGATGTTGGCGTCGGTGATACTGAACAGATTTCTCGTCCAGAAGCAATCCGGGTAATTTTTTCTCCCCTATTGCTAAAAGGTTTTAGACTTTTAGTCCGTAAAAGAAGAACAGAAGCTGAGCGTGGGTGTGTATGTCATAGGATTATTGAAGAGAAAGATAATGAAACATTCCTTAGTAATGCTGGAAGGGATCTGAAGAATCTTCTTCAAAAGTACGATGAATCGGATAAAAATGAGAGTGGGAGCGGAGCCCGTGATAACTGATAAGTAATGGAGGAGGAGTGGTTTTTTTTTTTTTTTAATCTTCTGATTTGGTCAATGAGAATGACAGCATTGATTCTCTCTCAATTGACGTGTATTTTTGCTCTGCTTTGGGAATCTTTGTGTTGATTCTATCTTAATAATTGAATGCTTAATTTTTGGGTGAATAATCTCTTTTATTTTCTTACATCATATAATTATGTAAATAATGCAAATTTGAATCAAACTCTAAATTAAGGCAAACGCAAACTCGATAGAAGCAAATATCCTCTGTCTCTTGTCGGATTCCAAAACAGAGATTTTTCAATCTGTCAAAGCTTACAATGAACTTGTATTACAGAGAGATTGACTCGTCTTCTTCGATTTACCACAAAGTTTCTAATCTACCTCGTCTTCTCCACCCATCCGCCGTTGTGGAGAGAGACACACGGCGGAGTTGGAGTGGCTGAGGAAGAAGAAAAGACGAAGAAGCAGAGATTTCAAGCGAGAGAAAACCCTCCTCAAGGATCTGAATTAGCGATTCATCCATGTTATACTCTATCAGAAACTGCACATTTGCTTATAAAAATACTTCTTCACGATTCATGATAACGCGCTGTTCAATTTCTGATGCAATTTTGTGCTTCGATCGCTCAATTCCTCGCTTGGGTTTCATTCCTTTTACTATTAGCCACGGTGGGCTCTTCTTCTTCTTCCAAACCTCTCCTCAATTGTCAACCTTTAGATCGACAACTTGTGAACCCTAGCCGCCACGTTGATTTCCTCAGAGCCATGTCTTCCGTCAATGATCTCATTACCCACGACAAGCTTTGGGTCCATTCTTCCTTCACCGATGCATCTCCACCCATCTATGTGTTTCTACAGTGCCGGGAAGATCTCTCTGTTTCCCATTGCCGCCGTTGCTTCAACGAGAGCAAACTGGAGCTCGAGACAAAATGTTCGGGTTCGGCTGGTCGAATCCACAATGATGGATGCTTCTTACGGTTTGATGATCGAGATTTCTTGGAGGAATTTGTTGATCCTAGATTCGATCGAGCCAAATGTGTGGTGACAGAGTCAGGGTTTGGAACGTTTTGGAAATATCTTGATGAGGCTTTGGTGAATGTAACCTTAAAGGCTGTGAAGAATGGAGGGTTTGGTGCAGCTTCCGTGATTAGATCCGAGGCCGTGTATGCCTTGGCTCAGTGTTGGCAAACACTTGACGAGAATTCGTGTAGAGAGTGTTTGGTTAATGCTAGATCGAGCTTGAGAGATTGTGAGGGACATGAAGCTATGGCTTTCTTTACAGGGTGTTACTTGAAGTATTCCACACACAAGTTCTTCGATGCTGCTGCAGAGCATAAACCTGATGATGGTATGGAACATAAAGAATGTTGAACACATTACTCTTAAGTTTGGTAATAGAGATTCTTCACCATCGTAATTTTGTTTATTTCTTGTGCAGATCAGAGAAACTTTATAAGGTCGACGTTTTTTCCACATCTGAGTGATCATGAAGTTACAAAATTAGCAATTGCTGCGATTTCGTTGTCTATTCTTACTTCCCTTGGCGCCTTTATCAGTTACAGACGGTTTTCAAGGAAAAGAAAAGGTAAATTAGGACTACAATATACCATAGCTATGTATGAGGTTCCTCGTTTTGTTGATTCATGGTCTTGTTTTGTGTAGCTCAAATCCCATCGTGTTCAAATTTCAAATACGAGATGCTCGAGAAGGCGACCGAGTCTTTCCATGACTCTATGAAACTAGGCCAAGGAGGGGCCGGTTCTGTATACAAAGGGATTCTTCCAGATGGCAGAGTCGTTGCAGTCAAAAAGCTCTTCTTCAACACACGTGAATGGGCGGATCAATTCTTTAACGAAGTGAATCTGATCAGCGTAGTTCAACACAAGAACCTTGTGAGACTACTCGGATGCAGCATTGAAGGTCCCAAAAGTCTTCTCGTCTATGAATATGTTCATAATAGAAGCCTTGATCAAATACTTTTCAGTAAGTTGTGACATCTTCTATAAACTAACCCATTTAACAAATCCATCTTGTTAACTAACTTGTTTATTTGAATTGCAGTGAAAAATACAGTCCATATTTTGAGCTGGAAGCAACGGTTTAACATCATTATAGGAATATCAGAAGGTCTAGAATACCTTCACAGAGGATCTGAAGTGAAAATCATCCATAGAGACATCAAAACCAGCAATATTCTCCTTGATCGAAACCTAAGTCCCAAGATAGCGGATTTTGGACTCATACGTTCCATGGGTACCGACAAAACGCAAACCAACACTGGAATTGCTGGAACACTGTGAGTGTGTGTGTACTTGTCGATCAATTCTTCTTGAACAACATTGCATTTCAGAAACTAGAGTATAAGGTGTTGGGATTTGATGTTGTTCTTTGGAACTGCAGTGGTTATTTGGCTCCTGAGTATCTTATCAAAGGGCAATTAACAGAGAAAGCTGATGTTTACGCATTCGGAGTTCTTATCATCGAGATAGCAACTGGCAAGAAAAACAATGCTTTCACGCAAGGAACTAGCTCAGTTTTATACTCGGTAAGTAAGCTTTATTTCTATGACTGTGACAGTCACTTTTGAACACTGTTAATGGCTTCGTCTTGGCTTGTTTGAACAGGTATGGGAACATTATAAAGCAAGCACTTTAAAAAGCTCGATTGATCCTCGGTTGAAAGGGAATTTCACAGAGGAAGAGGCATTGAAGGTTCTTCAAATTGGATTGTTGTGTGTGCAATCTTCAGTAGAGTTAAGACCTTCAATGTCTGAGATAGTCTTCATGTTAAAGAAGAAAGATTGTAATTTTGATAGTCCGAAACAGCCTCCGTTCTTGAGTGCCAGTGTTCTAATGCCAGATGAGGAGACCAAAGAAGTGTGATATTTTAACAATTTCTTAGGTTTGTAATGTTCCATTCTATAAATGTTCAAGAAGGATTTTCACACCATTCTTTCTTTCTTTTCAAATCTTTTTTTTATCGACATTGTTATACTGAAGGTCAACAAAATAGGAAAACAATGATTGAAAAACATGTCATTACTTGCTTAGTAAAAATGTAATTATACTAGTCGATTACATTATTCACGATGGCAAGCTAACAGAACAAATGTTGCTAAAAACGAGAAAGAAAGTTGAAATGGGATAGTGTTGTTGTTGTTGTAATTTAACAAAAATGACATATGAAGTCAACATAGATTTATCATTTTGTACCAAAGTGCTGCCTACTTGGATCGATCATATTACACTTAAAGCCCGATGGTAATACACACATGTACGTAGAGAAAAACGCAGATAATGTGTTTTGGTCAAGCCAGAGAGCCAAACGTGCTCTCTCGTGGTAGATGGGATGTGATATGCATCTCTCTCTCTCTTCGAATAGCTTTAAAGAATAATAAATTTTGACGATTTAGTATCCCACTTAAATATGTCTTCTTCTTTCCTAATCCCTATATTAGTAAAAAAGAAGTACAAAATAGGATACGGGTCGGATCAAAATTAAAAAATTAACCCGATTTTAGCAATTGGATACTTCAAAACTGGATATTAAATTGGGTTTGGATACATGCACCGAATACTTACCATATCTAATATTAGGATTACATTATTTCCATAACTAATTATAGAATTTCCTAATATTTCTCTGACTAATTTAATATAATATATTAAAAAAATATTATTCTTCTTTCACTTTTATTTGATCTTATTTTTAAATGATTTTATACTATATAATACAAAATATTTAATAAAAATTTCACATTTTTTTGCATATATTGCAATTTGAATTTTTCAAAACAGACTTATAATACTCAACTACACTCGGTTAAAAAACTTTCGGCAATGGTTTAAAATCATTATAAGTATAACCAATATTAAAACCATTGTTACATGATCATATTTAAAATTTCAAAAAAATTCAAAATATTATAATTAAAAGGTTCAAATATATTAAAATTTTAGAATTTAAATATTGACAATATTGTTTGAAGACATAAATGTAATTTTGGAGACATAATTTTTATTAATAAAATATATTATATATCAAACTATGGAAATTTTAGATACTTCACGGGTAGTTTGTTAAAATCACAATTATAATGATAAAGCGAGATATGAATAATTTTTTTTACGAAATGAATTCTGTTACGGGTTGGTCCTTCAAAAAATATATTGTAAATATATAAGTTTTACATATATTCCTACTTATACTACAAAAATGGTCAAAATGAATAATTTATCGACAAATATTTTTTCGTGCTGTTAAATTTTCACCGTGTTTTTAGTTGTATCAAAACTCAATATATGATTATTTACTCGCTTTTTTGTTATTTTATTAAATTTATTATACAAATATATGATTCACCGTAGTTTACTGCTGCAAAAAATTAAAAATGTAACATATTCTATTCCGTTAAAAGTTATATATATGTAATTATTTCCCCCGCGCTATAGCGCGGGTCCGAACCTAGTTGATTTTGAAAATTTAAACACTATGCATCGAATTTATACTGTAACAATGTTACTAATCAAGAATTTATGTTCGTGAATATCATACTACTACTTTTTTTATTTGTACTCCTCACCAATATAGATTTCTTTTAGTAATCATATAAATTTATAGGGAAATAAAAGAGCATCAGGTGGGGCCCACATAGTTTCTTCCCCAACTCGCTTCCCCGAGAAGGAACTCTTTTACTGCTAACCCTTCCTTCCCACTCTCCTCCTCCGCCTTCTTTATCTCCCTCCACCGTCTCAGATTCGACTCTCTCCTTCTCTGCTTTTTCTAAATTGATTTATTTCTTTATTCTCTCTTCTCGAGGAGTCTTTGATTTGACCGGAACATTGTTCCGGCAGCTTTAACACAATACCTCACTCTCTGGTTTCTTCTCCGTCGTTATCTTAACGCCGTTAAAAAATATATTTAAAGTTGCAAGTGACACCGGAATTCTAATCGCTGTACCCAGAGAAGCCCTAAAAGCACTGTCGATTTCTCTGCTCAATCTTCCTCTGCTTTATTTTATATATATATATCGCGTGCATTGTACAGTAGGAAGTAGCAGTCCTTTTGCATGACCTTATTTTTCAGGTAACATTTCGAATCCTTCCTAGCGGACCATATCTTCTCCTCACTCTCGGCCTCTGTGATTTGTTCATTCCCCTCAATTTTTGTGGTTTGTTTTCTAGGTCGTTTTAGCTGAGTTTCATTACTAGGATTTTGTTACATTTTGAGTTTTTGGAGAAATTTCTTAGGGCATCTATTGTGGATAACGAATTCTGGAATTTATGATCTCTGAATATTCGGTTGTTCCTTGTAGATAAACAAGATGAGCTACAATACAAGTATAAACGTTTCTCATGATGCTGTGGCTGTTAAACCCGAGCGCGGCAATATGCTTCAGAGCCATGGTTCCAAAGAACATCCTCTTCCTCAAGATTCTGAAGAAAATAGAGGATCTATCGGTGGTCAGAGTAGCACTAGTGTCGTTGATCAGGTCCGGTCGCCAGCTGATGATGCTGGTGTCACTTCTTCATCCACCATATGTCCAGCTCCTGTTTGTCGGCAGTTCTGGAAAGCTGGAACCTATACTGATGAATTGAGTTCAAAGTCTCAGCAGCCAAGTATGCTATATTTTCTAGTCATAATTTATCAATTACTCTTTTGCTTGGATGACTTGATCATCTTTGTCACTATCGGTTACAGTATTTTGCTTATGGGTTTTCACATATGTTTCGCAGATGGCAGAAACTATCTTCATGTGCACCCTATGTTTCTTCACTCCAATGCTACTTCACATAAATGGGCTTTTGGTGGTATGCTTCAATAATCATCATTTTCCCTTTTTTGTATCTGGCTAACCAAACATTATTCAAGCGTTTTAACAAGACTTATTTGGTTCTCTCTACCTGCAGCTGTTGCAGAACTTCTTGACAATGCTGTTGATGAGGTGCGTCCTTTCTCTTGAAAAACTGCTTGATAAATGTTTTAACCTGACTACCTGCTTGTTCATTCCTGCAAATAATTTGAATAATACTCTTCACTCTTTTGAACCTTTTTTTCTATCTACATATCTTAATGTCCTGACTTAATCAAAATTGTTTTGAGTTTTGAATCTTTAAATTCTTGAATAATATTATCCTTGATAGAAAACTTCTCCCTTCTGGGACCCGAGCGCTTCACTTTCTGACTCCATTCTGTCATTTTTTCAATTAAGGTGGAAGTGCGCCCTAAATATTTGTAGATATAGTTCTGGATGATAATTTATTAATATGTTTTCTCCTCTGTATCTTCATTACCCTATAGATCCAAAATGGGGCCACTTTTGTCATTGTAGATAAAATAACAAATCCAAGGGATGGCACAACAGCATTGCTAATTCAAGGTATTTTTGCATTGAATTTTTTGGATTAAGTCCCGTGCCAATTCACAAGGGGGAGTATGCAAAAGAAAGACTTTCTAATCATCTCTGCATAAAACTTTTAGATGATGGAGGTGGGATGGATCCTCAGGCAATGCGGCATTGTATGGGTTTTGGCTTCTCAGATAAAAAGGCGGATTCAGCCATTGGAAGATGTATGAATATTTCTCTTGATGCTCTAAACTATTTATCTTTAGTTATGATTCCGCAACACATATCTCTAATTATCATTCTGCATCACATAACACATAAGATTAGTTAAGATTTTGAAGCTCAGATTGTTAAATATGATTCTGCATCTTATCCTACGTTATGATTCTGTAGATGGAAATGGTTTCAAGACCAGCACAATGAGACTTGGGGCAGATGTCATCGTTTTCAGTCGCCATTTAAAGAACCAGTGAGTGGTCATTGTTGGTTATCTATGCGCCAATGTTCTAACAATTTTCACCCAGTGTTCTACCAGTTTTCCATCCAATTATTTGCTTTCTAAACAAAAGAATGTGCTAAATTGTTTTCTATGTCATCTGAACAGAACATGGACACAAAGTATTGGGCTCCTTTCCTATACTTACCTGACACGTACTGGCCATGATAGAATAGTTGTTCCCATTGTGAGTCTCCCTCTCTCACACATATAAATGTACCTTAGTTTTCTGTAATTTAACTGTGTTGCCTTGTGAATATTCAGTTGGATTACGAGTTTAAAACATCAGCTGGCGAGTTCAGGTCATTACAAGACCGAGAACATTTTAAATCCAGTCTCTCCATTCTACTAGAATGGTCTCCATTTTCAACTGAAGCAGAACTTTTGCAGCAGGTAAGGCCAATTTTCTTCTTTAATTTTCTCCATGCAACCCATGTTGTCTACAACCTGCTTATTTACTGGTTATTTCATTTGAAAATTTTTGGGGCATTTCATGAGTGTGATATTCCATGTCATTGGTACATTTCGTAAAAGCTTTGGAGGAGCCTTAAGTTCTGTATATAATAATTTGATCTTAATCGTGAGCCATCCATGACTGTTCTCCATTTCCATAATTCTGTATTTCTTGGATATTGTCGCCTAAGGTAGTTCACCAAAAAAAGATACGAATGAATGAATGCTTATATAAGAGTAGAGCAGTTCAAAGGAGACTTTAGTTTGCCCTTAAATGAAGCTCCTTCATGTTGGTCTGTTCTCTATTTGTGTTTGCCCATTTAATTAAGTTTTTCCATTTATCTGAATGTCACCAAGTTCCTCTCTTTAGTGACATTTTATTCTCTTTTCCTTGTATCAGTTTGGCGACGTTGGACAACATGGGACAAAGGTTATTATCTATAATATGTGGCTCAACAGTGATGCTAAATTGGAATTAGACTTTGATTCGGCTGCAGAGGTGTATATTCTTGATCTTTCCTATTTCTGATCTTCTCTTCGTTCCTAAGTATTATCATTTAATTGAGATCTTGTTCATTCCTTTTTTTTTTTTTGTAGGATATTCTCATTGAAGGAAACATAAAAAAAACTGGATCTAAGATTGTGAATGATCATATTGCAAGCCGATATTCTTACTCTCTTCGTGTAAGCTTCTATTTCTTTTGGTCAATAATGTTTAGGAACTGTTTATACTTATGTTCATGTGCAAGTGGTAACATAACATGGAATTATACTTGTATTTGTGAATGTACTCATGAATACTCTTGGGAAATACATAGTACACATAGACACAGATAATAAAATGCTGCAGACAGCTGTATATTCGAAAAATACTTGTGCAACTGTATACTAAGATTAGATATCTGGCATGCAACTGAACTACTTTCTGCTGCTACAGGTTTACCTATCCATATTATACTTGCGGATTCCTGAGACTTTCAAGATCCTTTTGCGAGGTAAGGTTGTCGAGCATCATAACGTTGCTGATGATCTCATGCATCCGCAGTACATCTTGTATAAGCCTCACGCTGCTGGATCTGAAGAGGTGATAAAATATCTGGAGGCTTTTGTTTTTTCTTCTTTTAAAAACTTCTTAGTTTTTTTCTTTAATTATGATTTGAATGTTGGTGGTAAATGAGCAGGCTTTAGTTGTAACGACGATTGGATTTCTGAAAGAAGCTCCCAAAATAAATCTTCATGGGTTCTGCGTTTATCACAAAAACCGTCTTATTATGGTGAGTTTTGAAATGTTAAATATGTTTGTTCACATTCTGTAAAAGGATTCTCATAGACTGGGATTTTCGTTAATATTATGTTGCTGGACCTCTCTACACCGATGGTGGCGCGCAGATTTAAATGTGTTTTAGAAAATTAAATATTCTTAACATATTTAAATTCATAATTTGCCTCAGAAGTTTTCTTACCCCAGCTAAACAACTCAGTATCTTTGTCAAATTTCTATTACAAATTCTATACATACTCTTGTTTGTTACTGTGACCTTGTTTGATTTTCTTTTGTTCCTTACAGCCATTTTGGGAGGTCATAAGCTATTCAAGCAGTCGAGGAAGAGGGGTTGTTGGTAAAAAACTGCAAAATCGATCAATTGATAAAACAATAGATTTTTTTGATGGGTGAATTTATGTTAAGTTGTATGCTGTTTGCAGGTGTTCTAGAAGCTAATTTTGTTGAGCCAACCCATAACAAGCAGGATTTTGAGAAAACTGTTCTTCTTCAGAAGCTTGAAAACCGTTTGAAGGAAATGACAGTGGAGTATTGGTAATTTCTCTAAACCTCGTCTTTTTGGTTACTGTTGTGTTGCTAGGTTTATATATTCCTTCGCCAAAGTAGATAATACAGAGTTTTCCTAGTGTGTGATAGAAGACCACATAAGATATATTGTTCTCTTGCTGAGCATGGGGATATCAGTCCTCTGATTTGCCTCTAAAAGTCCCCCTATTACCTCTGTACTGGCCTTGTATCAATTTCCATCGTTTCTTACTATTTCAATTGATTGGAAATCTTTAATAGGAGCTGTCATTGTGTCTTGATTGGGTATCAAGTAAATAAGAAGCCTCGTCTTCAGATACCTCAAAATGTTCGACCTGCCGGTAGACAAGCAGTAAGTCCTCCTCCAGGCTTCAAAGCAGTTTTTCCGCAAGGAAATTTGACGTCTCTCCCTAGAGTTTCAGCTGAGCCAGGTAAATCTTACTAAAACTTGAACTGCGATGTAAGTGGGATCATAGTTTGTCTTTGACTAGAACAAAACTAGATTTCTAATGTCGGACTTGCCCGGTCTGACCTGGATTGGTTCAGGGTTATGCCCACATTAAGAATCATTGAATTTATAGTGCTGCAAATACTCTATATATCGACTGCAACTTTCAGTTAGTTATTCTCCGTACTTAAGAATTAGAACAAAATAATCAATATCTTACTGAACAAAATAATCAATATCTTACTGAACAAAAAAATATCTTACAGAAATACTGATACACTTTTTCCAAACATACAAGTGTTTCTGCTATTATTGTGATGATGTGGAAGGAAGAGTTAATTTCACACAACCATTTGTTGGACATCGTTTTGTACTGTATATCTCCCTTCACATTTTTTCTGAATTCTCTCTGATGAAGACTTTTGATGGTTTCATTATTATCACAGTGCTATTGGAGAAGAGGAAAGAACATCCTGATGCTATTGCAAGCGCAGTGTCAAAAAGAAAGGTTGGGAATGATGGCTTTACTGTCCCGGGGCAGGATCGGGTTGAACAGGTACCTCAAAATATGTGTCTTCTCTTACATTTACTGATGAACATGTTTAACCCCATGACTTTTCTTAATACCTAGATGCTGAATACAAAATTGCGGATATTCCTGACTAGAATTTCATCTGAGCTCTGTTTGAGATTAATATGATATTTCTGTTATGTGATATCGCATGCACATGTCCCCACATAGAAAACATGATAGTAACTTTTGTTTGAAACTGCATATACCCATTTCGTTTCTCTAACATCATTGGCTTTTCACATGATCTGAAGTTTATACGTGGATCTGCAAGTCAGTCACAAGATATTGAAATTGTCAAGTTGATGGAAAAAAACAAGAAGCTTCGAGCAAAGTAAGATAAATTATGTAATATATATTTGCCAATTTGCGCGTTTGTTTGTGATTTCTGCCAGAAAATTTATTATACTTCTTATACTCAGATGTCTGGATCACAAGGTGCGAAGTCAGAACCTTGAAATCAAGGTACATCCTTCTGACATTAGCAACCCTTTTTTAATACTTGTTTCTTTCATTTGCTTTGGTGGTTTTGACTCACCGTTGTTCCTGCCTAATCCCAACCTCCTCGAAAGATTGCCAAAAACGATAATGATTTTGTGGTGATACAATCTGCGCAGGCCATGAATCTAAGGAGTGAGCTGGAGAAAGCTAAAAGCGAGTATGAAAGGCTAATGGTAGAGCTACAAGATTTGGGTTTGGTGAAGGGGGAGCACAGAAGAAATGTAGATACCTAGAAATATTCTCTGCACTTGAAAACACTATTTTTGGCTGGTCATATCCAGCTTTTAGGTTTGAAAACTAGAGATCTTTAGCTAATCTCTCTAGTAATCTACTAATGAGTTGCCTAGGACAAGGCAACAAAATGTGAAATAACAGGGTTCGTGTTTATGAAATCAAATACCCTTTTTTGTCTAGAAAATTCACCAAAAGTCAATGGAAAATATTGAAATTTCTAAACAAATGACAATGATGGCTTGTCGTTGTGTACCTGTGTCACCCTCGGAGAATAATATAAATAGAGTTTTGGTATTTAGTTTCTTCTAAACGGTTACAACATAGTGACAATCATCACTGATAATTACATTATATTATCTATATATCATTGGATTGCAAATTCCCTAATCCAACCATTGAGCCATTAATTATTCAAAACCCGACGTTAACTGTTTCCACAATCGTGTTATAGCAAATCCCAGCATTTATTTAATTTTTAATTTAACATAACTATAAAGTCTTTGATTTGTTTAGACCATACAGCCAGAATACTAAATCAGGAAATAATCTTAGCTAATTAATACACAAAAGCAAGATATATAATACTTAGTGATAATCCAGCCAAAAGGTAAGTGTAAGTGATAATACGTCACCCCTGATGGCAACAACCACAAAACATAAGTGCATGAAAAGGCCATGAGCCAACGGCTAAGTCACGTGAGAGCGCACAAACATCCACGAGATGAGAGATTTTACCGTTGAGTTGAGCAACGTTAAAGGCATAGGAATCAGATGCTTCAACTACATTCACAATTCCACGTGGAGAAACACGATTCGTTCACACGGTTTTCAGAAAAATGAATGAGAATGTACCTGATTCGCGCGCCACTTTGTCGGCATGCTTTAAGTGACTCTTAACCATTGGATCTCGATCGCGCCAGAAAAGGGAAAGGTCAACTTGGTCATTCAAGCAAATTAATTATAAATATATATAAAAAATTAATTAGTGACGCAAAAAATGCGCTGGAAAATACTCAAAAAGACTCTCTGATTGTCTGAAGAAAAGAATTAAGAAACCGATTCGCTTCATTTTTTTTACCATCAACGATTCTGATTTGTTTTCCCGAGAAAACTTAGGAGAGAAAGAGAAAAAGAGAACAAGGCAGAGACATCCAGAAAAAGGAAAAAAGGTTTCTTCGCCGTCTGAGTGGGAAAGATGGCGGAGGATTTCTCTAGAGCGGTGGACGATGGGATTAAACTCTCCAAACGGATTTATTTCGGGAAAGACCGAGCCGTCGCAGCTCCGAGACCACCTGCGCCCATGGAGAGGTCTTCCACGACGCAGCCTTACCTTCCTACGGCCCCCATGGTTTACGCCGTCATACCCGACCCGGGAATTGTGGATAACCCGGATTTACCTAGCTATCAGCCTCACGTGCACGGTAGGTGCGACCCACCGGCTTTGATTCCTTTGCAGATGAATTCAATTGAGCTCGATGTTGATTGCTATCTCGATACGGCTCTTGTTACCGTCACCGGATCCTGGCGGGTTCACTGCGTTATGGGAAGTAAGAGATGTGATTGCCGTATCGCTATTCCCATGGGGGAACAGGTCTGTGTTTTTGTTCCTTCATTTTTTCCGGGAAAATTTAGATTTTTTTTTTTTTTTTTTTTTTGTAATTACATTAGTTCACTAATAACCTATTAGGGTTACGTCTCTCGAATTTGAAGATACGATTTGGAATTGGGTTTTTTTTAAGGGTTCGCTGATATCTCTTGTTCTGTATTTTTCTTTTCTGATGTCCTTTTGTTTTCACTTTTTTTTTGTTTATCGAGCATTGATCTCTTTTTCTCTGATGGTTCTCATACTAATACAGTAACCCTGTATGGATAACAGGGTTCAATTCTAGGTGTTGAGGTTGAGATTCCTAGAAAATCTTACACTACTCAGTTGATCACAGCTGAAGATGGAAATGAATTTGAGAAAACGGCACAACCTGAGACTGGAGGCTTCTTGAAACCAAACATTTTCACTCTTACAATACCACAGGTGAAGTGCAAGTTTCCAATTTGATTTTTTTGTTTGTGGTATTTTGTGTATGTGTGTTTTTGGCCTCTTCTCTGATTATATTCTCCCATCTATTTTCAGGTCGATGGAGGTACCAACCTCTCTATCAAGATGTCTTGGTCTCAGAAGTTGACGTATAATGAAGGGCAGTTTTTTCTTGATATTCCTTTCAACTTTCCTGAGTATGTGACTCCTGCGGTAAAGAAAATCTCCAAGAGAGAAAAGATTTATTTGAGTGTTAATGCTGGTACTGGAACAGAAGTTCTCTGCAAAGGATGCAGTCATCAACTAAAGGTCTGCTTTTATTGACTGCTCCACAATATTTCAGGTTTTTTTTTCTTTTGGTTCTATTCTGTAACTCTTATTCCTTTTATCTATTACAGGAGAAATTGCGGAGTGCAGGGAAATTAAGGTTTGCATATGAAGCAGACGTTTTAAAGTGGTCAAACTCGGACTTTAGCTTTTCTTATACGGTATGAGTTCTCCCTAGTGCTTTGAATCTCTGTTGCTGCTTCAACGTCGCATAGGCCCTAGACCTCTGGACTTGCATTGAATGTTGTAAAGAGTGCTTATCCTTTAATTTTTTTCGACCAAACGTAGGCCTCTTCAAGTAATATAGTTGGTGGACTTTTCCTTCAATCTGCTCCTGTTCAAGATGTTGATCAGAGAGACATATTTTCTTTCTATCTTTTTCCAGGAAAGCAGCAAAAAACTAAGGTTTGATTTTGAACACTCTTTTTTTTATATGCAATAAATGTTATTTGCATTATAATTGTAAGTTTCTTTTTGTCAACTTCAGGCATTAAAGCGGGAGGTAGTATTTGTTGTTGACATAAGTAAAAGCATGATTGGAAAACCTCTTGAGGACGTAAAAAATGCGATATCCACAGCTCTATCTAAGCTGAATCCGGGAGATTCCTTCAATATTATCACTTTCAGCGATGATACTTCTCTGTTTTCAACTTCCATGGAGTTGGTCTCTTCAGATGCTGTTGAAAGGGGCATTGAGTGGATGAACAAGAATTTTGTCATAGCAGATGGTACAAACATGCTTCCTCCCCTAGAAAAGGTTTTTCCGCAACTCAGTTGTAGCTTCGTTCAAATTGAGTCCTGAAAATAATTTGGCTAACTTCGTTCAATACTTTCAGGCTGTTGAAATGCTTTCGAATACTCGAGGCTCTATTCCTATGATCTTCTTCGTAACAGATGGGTCTGTTGAAGATGAGAGACATATTTGTGATGTAATGAAGAAACATCTTGCTAGTGCTGGATCAGTATGTCCACGAATACACACTTTTGGATTAGGTAAAACTTATCTACAAGGTTTTGATGTAAAATAACCGCGATTATCTTTATATACCTTTTCAGACGTGGACTCTTTGAAATATTTTCAGGTGTGTTCTGTAACCACTACTTCTTGCAAATGCTTGCAAATCTATCCAGGGGCCAGCACGAATCAGTTTATAATACAGGTGAAACTTTGACCCCGTTTTGGTGAATTAAAGGATTAAGTTGTCATTATCTGTGCTATACTATCTGTAATATAGTCTTCTAAACAAAAGTTTCCTTTATCCAGATCACATCGAGGAACGACTGGACAAATTGTTTACAAAGGCTTTATCCACCGTTCTTGTTAATATAACAATCGAGCCTCTGCAGAATCTAGATGAAGTTGAGGTGTGCCTCTATGCTAAGATTGTTTGCCTGAATTTTTTGGGATTTTTATATTGTTTCCTCCGATTCTATGAAGTATGTCTGTAACACTGAACTGTTACTTGTGGCTACAATAATAGGTTTACCCTTCTAATATTCCGGATCTGACGTCTGCAAATCCATTGATGATATATGGAAGATACAGAGGAAAGTTCCCTGAGAATGTGATAGCCAAAGGACTGCTAGGAGATTTGAGCAGCTTTTCTGTAGACTTGACTGTACAAAGTGCAAAAGACATGCCTCTTGATAAAGTAATATCACCTTCCTTTCATAATAATTCTCAATGGGGTTTTCTTTCGATAAAGACATCCAGGCTTGACATAAAGTGTCATTCCCTAAATATGTTCAGGTATTTGCAAAGAATGTGATTGACTTGCTTACTGCTGAGGCATGGTTCTCTGAAGACAAACAGCTGAAAGAGAAGGTTTGTCTACATTTCACACATCCTCAATTGTCCTTTTCAGGAGTTGCTCCTTCATTTTGCTTTACGTTTTTCTCTCAGATTGCTAAACTAAGCATCCAAACCAGCGTACCATCCGAGTACACTCGAATGATCCAGTTAGAGCACACAGAAGAACTGAAACCCAGTGATATTACCGGAAAGAAAAAGGTATTATGCATATCTAAAGTTATGAACTAAAATCGTTACATTCAACAAAAACCTAGCGATTAATTCTGTTCTAAGAACCAAATCAGACTCATTTAACTCATATATTAACAGACATCAAGCAATGGCGAGAAACAGAAGATGATATCAAGAACGATCCCGCTACAAAGCCTTGGGATAGGCTTTGGTGATCAAACAGCCACGAGAGAGAATGTTCCACCAGGATTTGGCGAACAGAGACTACCAGATGCTGCTGAGAAGTTCGTCAAGGCTGCTTCGAGCTGTTGTGTGTCCTTGTGCAACAAATGTTGCTGCATGTGTTGTGTCCAATGCTGCACTAAGCTCAATGATCAGTGTGTCATTGTTTTCACGCAGCTCTTCACAGCGATTGCTTGCATCGCCTGCTTTGAATGTTGCTCAGCTATATGCTGTGCTGGAGACGACGGGTAGTTATAATATACAAAAAACAAAACCGGTTTTGAGTCCAAGTGTAAAGCTTTTAAAATTTCAAAGTAAGTTTGTACATTTACATACACGTTGCATGTACGGCCTCATCAAATATACAAAGCTTTTATTGTAAAGTTGCTTCAGAGGAGCAAGTGTAAAAAGAAGAGACAAATCCATGTGTTTCCTTCACGATTTACTCGATTTCGTTCTCTTAAAACGTTCCATATATTATATAGAATGCAATTGTGGTGAACCGACATTCAACAAAGTCCACAAAGATGGGATCAAGTGCTAGAAAATGGTGACTTGAAGTGATAAGAAACTGATATCGAGGGGTTTATAGGAACTTGAACCCAAGTCTTTGTATTGCTGGCTTTTTGCTGGCTTCTGGGATTTGTGTTTACTGTGTCTTTAAAAACATGGGACCACTATGATCATCTTTTAACTTCTAAAGCTATTCAAGGAGATAAAAAGATCATTGACAGAAAAAGAAAATTTCTTGGATAAACACACATACATGTGCTCCTATATATGTCTCTGAAATATGAAGGTTTGTTTTCATATTTGTTTAGTTTGACTTAATCTTGTGTGATGTTGGTCCCTCTTTGATCGTGTAACTATCTTTATCTTGTTGATCTACACAGATTTTTAGTTGGGTTCAAAGAAAGCTTAGCGGAAAGAAGCATGAGTCTACATCAGATTCTTGTGAGTATATATTCTTATTATTCTTAGACTAGATGAACAATCTTTGCGAGCATATATTCATATTTTATTTCATTTGTATTTGATGTGTACATAGCTCAAGAATCATTAGGACCTCCTTTGAGTAAAGAAGTCCAAGGTTGGCCTCAAGACGAAGAAACCTTCTTGGCTATTGGAACACTTGGAAACAGTATCTGCCCAAAGGAAGAAGAAGAAACAGAATCTAGCAAAGATCTAACTGCTGTTAATACAGATGTTACAATCGGGAAGAAGAAGTCGCTTTCTTTTCTTCTCAAGAAGATGTTTGTTTGCACAAGTGGCTTCAAAACGCCACCTCCTCTTCTTGATTTGTCTAGAGGAGATTCACTGCCCAATACTCGAATGGAAAAGGTACTTTCATCTACCTACATACACATATGACCAATATTATGCAATCACGAGCAAAATGAAATTTATAGATTCTGTATTTGTGTTCAGATGCTTAGGACAATACTCAACAAGAAGATACATCCACAACGTTCAAATTCCATTGCAAAGAAGTACTTGGAGAATAATCATAAGATTATAGATGAAGCTCGTTCAAGCATTGAAGCCAACAAATGGGTCAAGACTGATTCTGAATGTGAGATTTTCTAAACATATGCATTTTGGTTTTATTCAGGTCACGAAAACAGATCATACATGTGATGATGTAATTAACCAAGTGTATATGTCATGGCTGGCTTCATTGCAGTATTTTAGTTAGGTCAAAAGCATATAATAAAACATCATAAAAGACAGATTAAAATGCAGAAAGATGATCAAAAGTGTAAGGATTTTAAAAATAGAAACATAAAATAAGTAGAAAGAGGTGTAAAACAAGAGTAATGGGATAGGAGAGCTTAATTCAATTTCTTTGATGATTACAGATATTGTCTTGGAGATGTAGATATCAACCAACTAAGCTAAATGGACCTGATTGATAGTCATGGTAATTATAGAATGTAACTAGAACCAGAGTTTTTTTTTTTCTTTCTTACTAAACAGTTGAACTAAAGTAGGAAATATGATTAAGTGATTGAAAGACAAATAATCAAAAATCTCTTATGTTTCAGGTATCAGATGAGTAAGGGTGTGAATGTTCTCAAGTGTTCAACAATATGAAAAATAATAACATATGGAGATGGGTCATCATGAATTATCTCTCTGATAGTCATCGTTTACAGATGTATATTTTTACTTGCCAAATTTCCAACTTTTCAGTTTTTGTTGTTACTCATCTATCATTATACGAATTTGTTTTTTTTTTTTTCAGATTTTTATGTTTTGAAGAAATCTGTTAGCATGTGTAACTACAAATATTTTTCGTATCAATAAAAAAATAATCAGTTTTACTTGTATTCATATTTATCTAAAATAAGTCCATGAAAATGATGTAAGCGAACTCAAATGCAAAATAAAATAAAATGGGGTTGATTTTGTAACATTTACAAAGTTTAAGGGGTTTTAAGTATTTGTATTCTAAAAGTGATTTCGGGTCGGATCGCGTCTGAGCAAACTTGACAGAACAGAGTCGTCAAAACTAAACAAAAACGATCCATAGATCTCAAAATCTCTCTCTATCTTTATCTCTTTCCCCGTGCAAATTAGGGTTCTTTGATTCTCCATTGTAGCGGTAGATCACCGAGGAGAAAAAAGGGGAGTTGGGGAATTGGAAACTGAGAAGTCAAAAAGGCAAATGCGATTGGAGATTGTAGAGTTGTAGAGTTCCAATGTCTTGGGCTGCTCCTGATGATATCTTCTTCTCCACTTCTCTAGCTGCTTACTTAGACAGTAATCTCTTTTCCTTCTTTTTTCTCTTTCTTTACTGATTTACCGGCGATGAAATCTGTGAAAACAAAGGACCTCGATTTTGATCCCAAATGGTTGATAAAGATGTTAGCTTTCTTCTACTGATTCTCTTTTATGTCTTGTTTTGTTTGCAGAGAAACTTCTTGTGCTGCTCCGTGATGGTAGGAAACTGATGGGTCTACTTCGTTCCTTTGATCAATTTGGTACCTTTCTTTGTCTTTCTCTTTTGTACTGAAACTCCAAAATCTCTGAATTGATTTATCTCAAGTTTTTTCATTTTCTTGAAGCCAATGCTGTGTTAGAAGAAGCTTATGAAAGAGTCATCGTGGGTAATCTCTACTGTGATATTCCCTTGGGTCTTTACATTATCCGTGGCGAAAATGTTGTCTTGATTGGTGAACTGGTATAGCTTTTACTAAACAAATCAATTCCTCTTGCATTTTACAATGAAAGTTTCTGCTCTCTCTTTTTTAAAAATGATTTTGCCAATTGAGTCGGGGGTTTTTTTTTTTTTGTGATCTTAGGACGTTGAAAAAGAAGAGCTTCCTGCTCAAATGATTCAGGTTTCAGAAGCAGAAATCAAAAGGGTTAGTGCAGTATCTATTTACTGATTGCTTTAGCTTTGAAGTTTGTTTGATTTGGGAGCTTCTTGCACGAATGGATCCTCAGCTTGGTTGCTTGTGTTTGGTGTTTTTGGGATGTACTGACTCCTCAGTTACACTCTTCTGTATAATCAGGCTCAGAAAGCAGAGAAAGAAGAAATGCTTCTAAAGGGTACTATGCGGAAAAGAATGGAGTTCCTTGATCTCGATTAGGGCATTTATGTGTGTTGCAGCATTGTAGAAACTAGAAAAGCTGAAGATGGGGAATATAGAAGATCCTTAAATTATAAGTCAAATGTTAGTTGGTATGTGTTTGTGTGAATGACATTTGATGAATCCTCAGAGCGTAGTCTCTACAGATCCTCTGTGTATGGAGTGAAATTATTGCGGTATGGAATGAAATTGTTGTGGAACTTGAGCCTGTTCTTTACTGACCATTATTTGATCAATCACATTTCAGAAAAACCAAAGGTACAGAGTTCAAAAATGAACTCAAAAGTACAATTACAACCTTGTATGATTCTTAAACATGAAAGGATTTGAAGTAACAATCGACATAGTATCTTCTTATAGTAGTTACCAAAAACCATTGAGCCATTAATTAAGGCCTCTCTCTAAGACCTTTCACTCTGGGTAAGATAGCATTGTGATCAGTGACTCGTGTTGAGGAAATTGCGACAAGAGGTCAGACCGTTTCGCAAGCTCAAAGTCCTCAAACTGGAAAGCGGGAGAGCATGTGCACCCAACAAGAGAGAAATGGTTCTCAATGTCTCTAGGCTCGGCCTTAAGCAGAGTCCCATCTTGAGAAAAAGAAACATCCTTTGTAGGAAACGAACCAAACCAGACGTTTGGAGGGACCGTGTACTGAGGCTTCTGATCACCTTCTATCAAGTCAGGACCAAGACATGTGAATTTCAACTTTCCATCATCGTAAAGTTCCACTACCTGATCAAGACATAAAGAAGAAGCCATATTGAAGAACATTGATTATATTGTTCTTCTCATTCTACGGTTTTGTTGACTGTTAATGGCAAGAGATTCAACTTACAGTAAGGGGTTCACCCAAATAGAAGTGCCAGGTTTCAGCCATTGGTATGCGATGAAGACGAGAAACACTCCCAGATGGAAGCAAGAAGTAGATGCTTGTGCTCACTGCTCTGTCAACCTTAACTGCAGAGATTCAGAAAAGGCGAAAAGGATCAAACTTGTGAGATGATCTGCAATAACCTAACAAGGAAATTATACATAAATAAAAATTTGGATCAAAATTTGAGCATTGTTGATTCGATTATTGAATTTCAAGCAAATCACAAACCAAGCATACTATACTCTATCAGAACAGGAACCACATAAGAATTTTATGTAAGCCATGAGTTATGGATTTAAGCCGCTACAACTAATCTTCTTCAGCTAATCCAATAGTGAGATACACAACAAAATCTAAATCTCCGATCAGATTTCAAAGGATCTTACCGCTGAAATCTCAAAATGCGAATATGGGGAACTAATGATTACACAATATGAATAAGATTTTAAATCAAAGGAAGCGATGAATGCAAATAAACGAGAAAGAGAGAATTACAGGTTGGAGGGAGCTGAGAGGTGGAGAGGAGAACAGAAGAATCTCTGAAAGTTTCAGAGAAAAAGCCTCCCTCTTGGTGAGCCCTGAGGTTGAGCTTTCCGACGATTTCTGAAGACTTCACCATCTCCGATCTCAGACAGTCACTCACTAACTGATCTCTGTCGAGTCTCAAGCTTGGGTTCAGGTTTGTTAATTTCTCTTTTTGTTGTAGTCTCACTCTGCCTCCCAAAATTGACTATTCTAAACTTTTCTCTACACAAGACCACAGCTTTCATTATTATAATAGACCCCATATGTTTGTATTCGAACGATAGACACCCTACCAAATAAAATGTCCAATTGAATTGGGACCAAGATCACAAAGTTTACAACTTTCTTTTCTGTTCACTTACAGAACAACCAAATACAGCACAAGTTTCATCCGCGATTACAAAAATCAAGATTCCAAACTCAATGGTTTATTCAAACGTAGAAGATCATTTATAGTTCACAACCCTTTTACTTAAAAGTCATATTTTCATATCATTATTATATTCCCAATACTCAAAATATTGGAAAATCCTAAAGAAATTAAGCTGAATCTTGTCTAAAGGTTCGATCTTTCAAAACGCAGAGCCACCACTCCTTCTAGACATCGTCTGCATAACTCCATTCATTAGTCCTTGAACTGATTTCCCAACTCCAGCTCCTATGTCTTCTGCAAAATACTTGGCCTGCCACAAAATGTGTAAGTGAGCATGAGAAGTTTTCATTCCAATGTCGTAGGTTAGTAGCAATAAGTACCAAGCATACCGAAAAAGGTTTTACTTTACCTCTTGTATGCTCTTCTTCAGATCAAAAGCATCTTTGACTCTGTCATCCAAGAATGCCCATGTATCGCGATGTTCTGCTCAAAATAAATGATATCAAACTTTGAATAGTTTCTCTAATGCCATAACAATGCATTCAAGGGAGGAGGATTAAAACCAACCTAAGGAGTCATCGGTGAGCATGTAAATCTCAGTGGTTGAGTAAACGCCTCCAAGAATAGTGCGCTTGACATACCAATCTAAATCTGAGGCCCCATCTCCAACAGCATGCCATATTTCATCAACTAACATTGCCCGTTGCTTAAAACTCGTTGCGACATTCAGAGGATGCGCCTGTTTAGCCAAAAGGATATCAGGACAAGCTTGCATTCTATCATGACACAGAGAGAAACCGGAAAGACTTACTTGGATGCTTAGAGCTTGGGGCCATTTTGACATGTACGGGATTTGCATTTCTAGGCGAATTCTAATGAGCTTGGCAATGCGTGCACTTGGAATCAGGTTTTGCAAATCCAATCCAGAGTCTATTCTGTCCATAAGCAACTGAAGGCTTTCATCCATGAAGAACTGAACAAGAGTAACCAGAAAAATGAAACTCAACAATAGGACCACCAAAATCCAATGTTTCAAGCTCAAAATCTACAAAATTTCAGTGATTCCAGAGACACCATTACCTCAACAAGTGCAGCTTCTTTCCTGGAGAAAGAGCCAACAATCGAAGGAGACACACCAACATCCCTTGAACCAGCCATCATCGCTTCCTCAGTCCAACCTAATCTCGGCTACACAAAACTCCCAAAAATACAAAAACTTAATCGCCAAAAAAAATTGAAACTTTGAGGTAAATCTATGAAATTTATACCCACCACATGACGGAGAGACGCAGAGAGAACACGAGCCTGCTCTTCCTGAAACTCAGCTCTCGGCTTCCTGCTCTCATTTCGACGTGGTCCTTCCCCTGTACTCGTAGAAGAAGACGAAGAAGACGCCGCCGTGTGATCCGATTGATTAGGGTTCACAGATTGATTACCCATTGGCGATTCAGTATTACCACCCATCGACGAAGTGCAGAGACCGGAAGTGTAAGAGGAAGGGATGATTGTTGACCTGAGCTTGGGAAATCGGAGAAGGCGGGTGGATGTAAAAGCACCACCACCGCCGAGAAGATGCTTCGCCGCTGTACGGTACATCGTTCGCCGGAGTGTGAGGGGTTTGAGTTTTGTGACACGTAGATGAGATCGTTGCCACGAGAAATGAAAAGAGCTTCTCCTCCTTAACCGACCCCGTTTACTCTGCTTGCCCAAGTGAACTGATGATGAATTAATCAATTTGGGCGTTTTCTTATTTTATTTATTTTACCTGCTATTTATGATTATTTGCTTATACGACGTAAAGTTTATTTATTTGTCTAAAACAGACATAATTTGTACTTTTAATTTTAACGTTGTTAGCAAAGTCGTCAACGGTTTATGATGAATCACATCGAAACGTACACGTGTCGCGTAACACTGGCTTCACAAAATACTTCTGGATAACAAAGCCCATAACATACGAAGTTATACAATCAGTCACAGCAACACAAGAAAAAAAATGTACATTATCATTTCCGCACGAATCAAAGATGGCTCTTGCCATTGCTTCTGCTCTCACTTCCACGCTCACATTATCCACGACGAGCAGAGTCGAGATCCCAACCGAGAGAAGACGACAAGCACCGTGGTGTGCATCACGGGACGGTGGAAGAATAAATAGCGACCGCGCAGTGGTGGTTCGTGCTGGCAAAGAAGTGTCTAGTGTCTGTGAACCACTTCCTCCAGACCGTCCTTTGTGGTTCCCTGGTAGTTATCCACCTGAATGGCTCGATGGCAGGTTCGTTACATAATCAGTCAGTCCTTTTTCTTGATATTAAGCTTCCAATATTGATCGAGTCTTGACTATCAAAAACTCTTCTTGCAGCCTACCCGGCGATTTCGGTTTCGATCCTCTCGGTTTAGGTACGAACAAGGAAAAATAAATAAAAAATAACCGGGTTGAACCGAATTTTTTGACTAACTACAAGTGTCTGTTTTATAGGGTCTGACCCGGACACACTGAAATGGTTTGCACAAGCTGAGCTCATTCATAGCCGGTGGGCAATGCTGGCAGTAACCGGTATCCTAATACCGGAATGTCTCGAGCGGTTAGGTTTCATAGAGAATTTCTCATGGTACGACGCAGGGTCACGTGAGTACTTCGCGGATTCCACTACGTTATTCGTGGCTCAATTGGTTTTAATGGGATGGGTAGAAGGCAGAAGATGGGCCGATTTGATCAAGCCGGGGTCCGTCGACATAGAACCTAAGTACCCACACAAAGTGAATCCTAAACCGGATGTTGGTTACCCGGGAGGTTTATGGTTCGATTTTATGATGTGGGGGAGAGGTTCTCCTGAACCGGTTATGGTGTTAAGGACTAAAGAGATTAAAAACGGACGGCTGGCGATGCTTGCTTTCGTTGGTTTCTGTTTCCAAGCTACTTACACTAGTAGTCAAGATCCAATTGAGAATCTCATGGCTCATCTTGCTGATCCTGGTCACTGCAACGTCTTCTCGGTAAGCTATATTTTGTCTTGATGATCATTACCATGAACATGATGATATGTGTGTGTATTGATCAACCTTCATGGGTACGTACTTTGTTTTTGCAGGCATTTACAACTCACTGATCAGGATTGGCATGCCATAAATATAATTTATTTTATATAATATCAGCAATTATGGATGTTGAACTTTTGTATATAGTTTTACTCGTCCTTTTATTACAACTTATGCTTAATTAATTAATATGTAAAATGAAGAAAATACAAGACAATTGAAAATTTATAGGTTGAAGATGTTGAACTTGGACTCAGAATCTGAGGATGTAGTGTGAAGTTTTTATGTGACCTTAACGACCAATGTAAAAATCAGTTATTCCTCTATAGACAAATAAACAACCAGACAAAACCGGTACGTTAAATTTACCGGTTTGGTTCAATCCAATTTCGGCGATGCACACCAAACACTTCCCTCACCAGCTTCTGACACAGACTTGGCAACTCTCGATGACGGATCTTTGCGTCTAATTCACTAATTCTCGGCTAGATCTGAGGAAACCTAACAAGAACCAGAATCCCCCATGTTTCTAATTCCTAGTAAATCGAATCATGGTGGAGAATTTGCTTCCGTCTCGATTTCAATTCCATCTTCAGAGACTTGAACCGAGGCGTCGTCTTACTTCTTTACTTGCTTCCCACAAGACTACACTCTTCACATTTCTCTGGATCGCTGCCTTTGGTTCCGTTTTCCTTTGGCAGCGAACGGCTTACGTCGGCGGCTCTGGAGCTGGTCCCGTTGGAGGAAGATTCACCATTTTCGGTAAGATCAAACCGATTCAGCCACTGCCTCGACTGAGACCTGTGGTGTTCGATTTGAGAGATTTTGGAGGTGTTGGAGATGGGTTTACGCTTAACACGGAGGCCTTTGAGAGAGCGGTGGTTTCAATCTCGAAGCTTGGGAGTAATAGCGGTGGCGGTCAGCTGAATGTGCCGCCTGGACGCTGGCTCACGGCTCCGTTTAATCTCACTAGCCATATGACTCTTTTTCTTGCTGAGGATTCCGAGATTCTTGGTGTTGAGGTTAGTGAAATGATTTGATTTCTCTTACATTGCTTTCATCTCGATACAAGGGCTTGATCACAAAAGATTTATCCTTTTTTGTCCATTGATTTTGATGATTATTTACTGAAAATGAGATGCTTTAAGCTCTGTTTTAAGTTAATATGGCATAACTTTTAGCCACAACTAAGCTTAGAACTTGATATTTCTAGGTTACAGGTAACTTCACTTTAGCTAAGTTAGAGTATATTTACTGTGTTTGCTAGGTTCTGTTGAATGGAGGGTACATAACTTTGTAGATTTTGTGTGTTTGAGGAGACTAATCGAATATATAACAAATGCTAGATTTGGTACGCAAATGAGTGTTTATCTTGGGTTTTTAAGGGAATAATCCACATTTGGGACTAAGAGTATAGGTTAACAAAACAGAGGTTGCCCAATGAGAAAATAAAACTTAAGTGAATGCTGTGTGAATCTTATTTACCCGGTGTTTCACTTGAATTATCAGGATGAGAAGTACTGGCCTTTAATGCCACCATTGCCTTCATATGGTTATGGTAGAGAGCGTCCTGGACCTCGTTATGGGAGCTTAATCCATGGTCAAAACCTCAAAGACATTGTTATAACTGGTTAGTGATTCCCTCCTAGTTCATGTTTCTGAAATTATGAGAAACGAGTTACTGATTAATGGATATAACAAACAGGTCACAACGGAACAATAAATGGACAGGGACAATCGTGGTGGAAGAAGCATCAGAGGAGACTTCTCAACAATACGAGGGGACCTTTAGTTCAAATAATGTGGTCCAGTGACATAGTTATCGCTAACATAACAATGCGTGACTCACCCTTTTGGACTCTTCATCCATACGACTGCAAAAATGTAACAATAAAGAATATCACCATCTTGGCTCCTGTAACTGGAGCACCAAATACTGATGGAATTGATCCAGGTATTGTTCCCTTACCGTCGGCGTCTACTATCTTTCTCCGGCTATCCTGCATTTGATAGATTTATAACTTTTTTGCACTGTTTATCTTTCCGTAAACAGATTCGTGTGAGGATATGGTAATTGAGGACTGCTACATTAGCACTGGTGATGATGCGATCGCAATAAAGAGTGGATGGGATCAGTTTGGCATTGCATATGGACGACCTTCAACGAACATTCTTATCCGTAATCTCATTGTTCGCTCCGTTATAAGGTAAAGAGTTTTCTCATTTTTCATGTTTCACCACAGAAGTTCAAAAACTTGTTTTTTGTAAAAACAAAATAAGCAAAAGTTGTCTGTATATTTTGACAGTGCTGGTGTATCAATCGGAAGCGAAATGTCGGGTGGTATATCTAACGTGACGATTGAGAATCTCCTAATCTGGAACTCGCGGCGCGGAATCAGAATCAAAACAGCTCCAGGACGAGGCGGTTACATCAAAAACATAACTTACAAAAACCTAACACTAGATAACGTTCGGGTTGGTATCGTGATCAAGACGGATTACAACGAGCATGCAGATGATAATTACGATCGCAAAGCATATCCGACACTCTCAGGATTCAGTTTCACGGGAATCCACGGACAAGGAGTGAGAGTGCCGGTCCGAATCCACGGGAGCGAGCAGATTCCGGTAAGGAATGTGACGTTTCGGGATATGTCCGTTGGGTTAACGTACAAGAAGAAACATATATTCCAATGTTCGTTCGTGAAAGGACGAGTCTATGGTCCGATATCTCCTCGAGCTTGCGAGAATTTTGATGTGTACGACGAGGAAGGTCGTCTTGTTAAGGCCGCTGCTGAGTCCAATGTGACGGACATTGACTACGACATTTGAATGTATTTTTTGTATTCACTGTCATCTCGGATCATTTGTGTGTACATAGACGTAAATTTTGGAACACAAAATGAATGTTTTTTTTATATTAATTTGGACAGCTTTTCAATCTGATAATTATAATTCAAAATCACATAGAAATATCTAAAGGAGCAGTTCTTTTCTCCACAGTAAAGGAGTGATATGTACTTGTAAATGATTTTGTACCCATTATGGGGGATGATAATATATGATAATAACAAATCAATGAAATAGATGTCCTAGTTTAATAGGAAATTTGCTAGCAAATATTATATCAAGAATAGGTCGATTAGTGGTAATAAACTGCTTAATCTATGTTGACCAAACAGTAAAGTAGAACGAACGGGATTGACTTGCTTTAAACTAAAGAATACAAATATTAATGAATAGATGAAGGAATGCAAGATTCAGACTCATAAATATTTGAGGTTTACAGTTGAGCGGTAGAATGCTTGAGAAAAAGAATAAGAATGTCCATGTTGAGAGGTTTTATATATATGTGCGATTCTGGCAAACACAAGTTGCTGTTTTCGAATCCATGACTAAGCTCACATATTATTAACGCACGAGTCACCTGCATGCATGGTATCAGCGTAATCGACTGAAACGGACTAATGATCCCTTACAAAAGCGGACTCGCACCTTTAGACATGGGAGACTATGCTATACCTCTCTTACTTAGCTTTTGATCGCCAAACTCGGACCCAAAACCAATAGCGAGAGGGGTGTTTTTGTAGACCAAACTCGCACAACTTGACCCAGCCAACATATAAATATAAATTTCTTGAAATATCCAGTTTACACTATAAAATATTAATTTTAATGTCACGAGAAGCATGTTCCACTAATAAAGTGAATTAGCACAGTTTCAAACATTTATAGTATATTTTATTATGCAGAACACCGACGACTCCAATAATGGTCGCGACCCATGTGGCGCCTCATCAACTGTTTTTATGCTTTTTTTTTTTTTTTTAATCTTTATTTTTATACAATCATATAGTACCATTTATTTTTGAAAGTATAACAAACGCATGCGTACTTTTACAAGTATACTATAAAGAAATACAGATCAATTGTTTCTTCATTTCTTGAAATTTCATGTGCATATTGATTTTTTATAGTTTTTATCAAAACCTAGGTATGATTTGCATCATTGCTAGTTACATAAGTATTAGTAATTTTTTTTTTTATATAGTATTAGTAATTTGCTAAAAGAAACTAAAACTATACGACGTGGCGACGTATGAATCTATGCTTAGCATAGTCAACCATGTAAATTTCGAAAGCCTTATCATACTATAAAGAAAAAAAAAAAAGCTAAACGAGAAGATAGTGTAGTATAATGATATTTATATTAGACGTTACATTTATAAAATGAATTGTTGTATCATATAACAAGGACTAGAAGACTAGAATAGAATAATACAAATAAATTTAGGAGCCGTAAACTAAAGATAAACTCTCAAATGGTGCATATGAATACAAAAATTAAATATATATAAATTTGGACACGTTACTCAACTTGCATCGCGGATCTGTATTCCTTCCCAACCACAACCACTACGCACTACATACACGCATTTCCCACGAGTTTAACGATCTTTTCCGTTTAATCTAATCCTATCTACTTTATTACAAGGCTCATCATCATCATATAGCCCACATTCCCATAGCTTAATAGTAGTATGTTCTAACTCCTTACCAATAAACTCAAAAGCCACTTGAGTTTTTTATTTTGTCGATGAAAATATCTAGCTTGTTCTAATAAAGTTTCTATCAATAATGTGAAAGAAAGACTCGGTGTTTTGGACGACTTTTTCTTACTCTTTTAATTGTATGCATAATTAATTATACCATATTCTAATATAATATTTTTTGTCGGCTAATAGCAAACTTCATCCAATGGTCCGAATTATCTCGAGTTCATGGTATTTATATTACTGGACGTATTTTGTTTACTGAAATATAACGGAAACTGTGTCGAAAAATCCAAGTTTAATGAAACATCAGAGAGACACGATTGAATTGTATTAGAACTGTGTTATAGGCCTTCTCAGCCAATCTTGATCATACGACACAATATCGAAAACAAATACTAAAAAAAAAGAAAAAGATATATATACAACAATTTATCAACGAAAGAAGGCAACAAGGTGCAAACACTAATTATAATACACTATGATCTTTCTCGTGCCTAAGGTGTTTTTTTCTTTTATCTCTTGTCAATTTCCAAGTACGATCCACGCAAACAAAGTTGTACCCTAAATTTGCGTCTGTCTCAACAAAAGAGAATTTATAAAAACAATAGCAATTTGAAAAAGAGTCTGACAAATCAATCTCACACACACACACACAGACACACCCAAGGGGTCGTATAGATCGCGTAGCAGCGTATAACAACTCACGGGTACGTAAAAATAAATAAGAATCTACTACACGCGTATATAAACAACCAACCATAATTCGACGCGTGTCATATAAAAATAGGTGTAGCCAACGTGCACTTGCCTTGTGGTTTCCTCTTTTTTGGATTTTTTTTTTGAATTATTTTTAAAACCTTTCTCTGCTTTTCCATTTTTTGTAGATATTATTTTTCTTCTTTTTTTAAAAAAAGAGGAACGCATAACAACAAAAACGTGGTCGACGGAACATGTGGGTGGTGGAGTTGTCTTGTATCGGGGACCACTCCACACTGTTTCATTATAATTAACGCCGTGAGGTTTTGCTCCGTTTTGCGTTTCTCACTCTTTTTACGATTGTACCCTCCTCCTTGCCTTTGTTGACTGACATATATATTATGGGAGGAGATTAATTACAGTACTCTCTTTCGCATATTGCCTGGGCTTAGATAATCTCCTTTTTAAGACGACAGTTTTGATTAGGTCTTTACATGTTTATTTATTTATTTTTAAGTACCATGCAAACATCAATTTCGTTTTCGATGATGATTTCTCTATTTTGCTGGTTCATGTCATCTTAATTAATTGTGACGGTCGACCATGTGTGGGTTGACTTTTTATAGTATGACTTTTATCTTGTGCTTTCATTTAATTCCAAATCGACAACTAATCCAAGTCTTGTTTAAGTTTTTTTTTCATTTACTGAGAGACCAAACCTTAACCTGTAATCGTTGCATGAATCACGCGTTAATAACCTTTATAATAATACGTTTTTCTTTAGATAATTATCTTATCGTATAGATTATGATTATACAAAACTATATTATTATTAGTCTAATATAAAAAAATGTCTTGACTGTTGACTACTTATAACGCGTTTTTGCTTCTTGTTTTTTTTTTTTGAATGTTTCATAGTATTTTTAAAAATGTGTCGTTTTTCCATTATTTTGGTTTAATTTTAATTTTTCTTGTTAATAAATCAGATACAAAACATGTGACCAGCACCAAAACCACGACGATCAAGATCAAGAATTATGCCTACTGTACAATTAAAGTTTACATTAATAATAAAGGAAAAAAGAAAAATCTAACATCTTCTTACATATATGCATATTGTATTTTATTTGACTTCGTCCTTACAATACAAACCAACCGTAGATGGTTAAAGTAGGTTCGTGTGTGGGGGAGGATATAATAGTAATTTAAAGAAAACAGAAAGGCGTTGAACGTGGAGAACAGTGAACCGAGACACATTTGCCGGTTTTATATAAAAAAGAAAGGACGAAATAAAACACGTGTTTTTATATACGCACTGTGATTAGATAAAAAAAGGAGTATAATATTAATATATATACTTTGTTATATTGGAGGAGGTAGGAAGCACCTCTTCTGCAACCAACCAACAACAAACCAAAGAGAAAGTTTTAAAGGAGACGTCTCCTCCCATTTCTCCCTCGTGACTAAAACGCAATTTGCTAAGAAAGAGCAAATCCATTACAAGAAAGAAGAAGCAACAGAGAGATACCTTTAGTTTTCGTATATAGATTCTACGATATCGGAAGAAGAAGAAGAAGAAGATTTTGATTCCCCTGGATCGATTTTGTTTATTTAGCTATTCCAGAAAACTCTCTTGTTTGTGATAAAGATGTCGAGTTCTATGGAGTTCGTCGCTAGTAGGAGATTTACAGGGAAGGCTAGCTTCTCTCAGACGTGTAGTCGATTGAGTCAGTATCTTAAAGAGAACGGTAGCTTCGGAGATCTGACCTTAGGCATGGCATGCAAGCCTGACGTCAATGGTTAGCCAACCAACCCTTTTCTTTAGATCCATTTTCTTCCTTTTTTTCTGAATTCTTGATCTTGATATTTTTTTCAAGAACATCGAAATTGGAGAGTTTTTGATCGGAAAACAAAAAGATTTTGAGTTTACCAAATTCTGAAACAGAGGATCTTACTTTTTGATTTCATTACATTTGCAGGAACTCTTGGCAACTCACGTCAGCCGACAACAACCATGAGTTTATTCCCTTGTGAAGCATCAAACATGGATTCTTCCATGGCGGCTCAAGATGTTAAACCGAAGAATATGTTTCCTAGGCAATCGAGTTTTTCTTCCTCATCTACCTCTGTTCCAAAGCAAGATGTCCTGAAAACGACACAGGCTACCAGATCTGTGAAACCAGAGTCTCAAACTGCTCCATTGACTATATTCTATGCCGGGCAAGTGATTGTATTCAATGACTTCTCTGCTGACAAAGCCAAAGAAGTGATGAACTTGGCCAGCAAAGGAACCGCTAATAGCTTCACCGGTTTCACATCTAATCTCAACAACAACAACAACAGCCAAAGTTTAGCCAAGACTACTCAAACAAGCAACGTCGTCGTCGCTACTATCCCAAGCCAAATTCCTCACCCCAAGAAAACCGCTACACAAGAGCCAGTCCTGTCCTCCTCAACTCCAATGACATGTGGTAATGTTTTTACTCAACCTATTTTGTTTACATCTCTTTGTAGCTTTTTATCCCGCCGTAATCATAATAAACAACTTCTAACAGAGAACTCTCCCTCTCTCTTTCTTTTGTTTTTTACAGAGCTTCCTATTGCTAGAAGAGCTTCACTCCATCGGTTCCTAGAGAAGAGAAAGGACAGGGTTACCTCAAAGGCACCATACCAATTATGCGATCCAGCCAAGGCGTCTTCAAAGCCTCAAACCTCAGACAACATGTCTTGGCTCGGTTTGGCAGCTCAAATATGAACGCTAACCGCTGTACCGGGAAATTCTTTTGACGTTGCTTCGATACAAGATATAAAAGCTGCTACTTTCATGCTTCAAGCTTGTTATATTCTTACAACTCTATTCAATGATTAGGAAACTTCATATATTTGTATGTATTATTGATTAGTGATCAATTCTTGTTAGTATATTCGTCTTAGTTTGTTGTTCTACACTTTTATTAGGTGTTGTCGCATGCCTTAATTAATCTCCTTTCTCTGGGGTATCTCAAAATTAGTTTTTGTATGTGACTGATTTTGTAAGAAACAATAATTTTTGTTAACGAACCATATAGTCCTTTCTAATCTTATATATAGTCATAATTTAATGGTTTAAACCGATATAGTTGAGTACTAATAGACAATGTTTACACTTAGAGAGCAGAGATAAAGATATAATGTTTACACTTACAGAGCAGATAATATCATTCATATTCTCCCAATCTCCCCAATCGAAGCCTCTGAGTAAGACATGACGAAACAAGCCTCTCTTATCATCCTTTGATCCCATAGTGTAGCAGCCTAAGCCACTCTCACACGCTAATGGCAAAAAACAGAGCATGTACTGATGTACAGCGAGAGTGGAATAAGCAGTAAGCGTTTAAGCAGGTGTGGGTACTGAGGCCGTTTTCGTATGCAAGACTTCGAACAGATTCGAATCTCTCAATCAGCTGGTCACATTCTAGTGTCACACTTATGTGTAGCTATATTTGCAACATTTAAGAAACATTTAATATATAAGTCCGGTATATTCAGTTTGATCACATAAAATTTTAGTGGTATTATTGGGTTACCACAAAATTAAAGAGAATGGACGGGAGTTTGGTGTTGACATGTGAGTTTAAACATGTTGATAAGTAAACCGAGCAAGTAGGATTTAGTGATTCAAGACCGTGTTCAGTTTTTTTTGTGTGTCATCTTTTTGTTCAGTGATCACTTTGGTGAACTAGCTAGTGTTATGCAAGTTCTGTAACTTTGTATGATGACGAACAAGAAGGATTGTTCAAATAAGAATGATGAAAATAGCTAAAAGCAGGCTAACACAAATTGCAAACTCATTTGACAATGCAATCGCACCCAGTCAGTATTCTGAATCTAACCGAAATAATGATACGACAAGACATAAATAACAAAAGACAGTTTCTAGTAGTTAATTCTTGATTCTCCAGTCATTTACCTCTCCTTGAAAAGCTCAAACCAAGCATGTAATCCTTGTTCTTAAGATCAAAACTTGCAGATAGAATACAATCGAGTCCCATATTCCATCCTTTAAAAAGATATGCAGATGCAACACCGTTAGAACCAATCTTTCCTTGGACCTGAGCCTGAAAAAAAAAAAAAAAAGATCATATGAAACTAAAACAGATTTATAAAAGACTCTGTTTTCAATTCCATTAAAATCTTTTTAAAAATAGCAAATATTACCATTTCAGAATCGCAGTCATACCCAATACTAGTATTAACATCTCTTGAAAAGCAATTGTACACAAACTCGGTGGCGAGTGAAGCCTGATTATGAGCAACAGAAGATACAACATGTGGACGTCATCCCTAATTATTATCTCACCTTTCCATCATAGATCAAAGATTAAAAAGAAAATATGAGATAGTGTGCATGCATGCATTATTTATTACCGTCTTTGAAATCTTATGCAAATAGGTCATACATACGTCACCGCTTTTTTTTAACTTGAGCAGCGGCGATCTGTTAATAAAGAAAAGTTCTCAACAAAGATTGATAAAATAAACAGTAGAAGAATTCACCAATATAACTATAAATATGATCTAAAAATTTTCTCTATCGATCAGAGTTTAAGAGCTATATATATCTATCTATCTTAGTAAATAAACTGACTGAGAAAGAAGTATAACCATCTTATTATCATCAGTATCGTATCTCGCAGCATAACCTAAAGCCGAGTTTTGAGACTCACTGCGCCACAAGAAATGAGTACCCAGAGATAGACGGGGTGTCACACGCCTTACAGAAAATAACTTACGGTAAAGTATATATATATATATTAATTAAATAAGCCTATACAAAGTCTAATTATTTTTTTATTTGTGAGCTAATTGTTTATCGAGGTATTTAAAAACGTTTAGAACACAAAAGCAAATTTAGTTTTACCTGGATATATGATGCTCCAATTACGCCTCTGGTCTCGAGACTAAAGTTAGCTACGTAGTTTTGAGCCTTACATAAGTGTGAGCCAAACAAAAATAGTTAAGGAAATGATTCATCACAAGATATAAGTACAAATCTTTAAATCGAGATAATTCTTTTACCAGGTAATCAAAATCAACTCGTGCCATGTCCAAAACTGCATTGCTCACCTGGAAAAGAAGAATGTCAAAAACAGAAGAAATTAAAAAAAAGAGTCGGAGAAGATATATAAACCATAGAAATGAATCACATTATCTGAGTCTCTCTAGTTGCAACACTTACCTCAGTCCGTGCTTGCACAATCAAATTATCAGTTATAGAGGCTTTCACTCTCCCGTTTAATCTACCATGAGTAATAAATCCATAACACACCAGCTGCAACAACAATACACACATTTTATATTTTAATTTCCACAAAAAAAAAAGATAGAATTTTATCATTAAAAAATCCCAATAACAAAGCTTTTTTTCCAATAAAACCTTTGGGACGTGAAAGTAAGGACAAAGTTTATAATATCCTGGCCCGATCGTTGGACTGTTTGAAACAAGAATCAGTAAACAGGGGATTAACGAGAAACGCCGAAAAAGAAAAAGGAAAAAGTATAGTTGCAACTATATATGACTGTAAAACATAATAAAAAAATAGTCACCAGATACAAAGCTTTTTATCAAAAAAGTATCGGTTGCAGCTCAAAGATAAACCCTGGTTATAACCAGGGTATAAAGCATGTGCAGAGAAAGAAAACTGGTTACAACAGGTTGACAAAATGACTTTGAATCAAAATATCCGGATCAATTTTTTAAAACCATAATAGTTAGATAGTTTTTCTACTGATCTCGGAAGACCACCTTGAAACGATTCACTGAAAACAATTAGAAACGATACAGTAGCCTAAAGTGCTCGAACTTGGCCAAAGTTACAATAAGTTAAGTACAATAAAAGCTACTTATGATACTTAACTGTAAGCTTCTTTATCGACCTCGTATTATCCAACAGGACAAGTGAGGTTCGAGTTATCAGCTTGATCCGCCATGGCCGCCGTTATCGTCACGGGGGTAGAAACACGAATAACTGAAGGGTTTTTCTGTAATAAGAGATATGATTAGATATGTAATTACTATACATTCCTAATATAGATACGATCATCTCTTTAGGCACAAAAACATATAAAGGAGGGTTTATTATTATTTAAATCTGATAATTCTAACACGTGGAGAAAAATAAATGAATCCTTTACCCCCAAAAATCCAAAAACAATCGGGGGAAAAAAAAAAAAAGGAAAATTAAAAACCACAAATCAAAATTATCAGATTCTCATGTGTGTGATTATATGGAAATGTTTCAAAAATTCCAAAGAATGATGGAGCCGTCGTAAGTCTCTTCTCCGTGGTAATAGTCTTGCTGCGTAGGTGAAAGCTGTTCCCTGAAACGATCACCGGAGTATTCGTCGGAGAAATCATCGAACCCAGGGAACAACCCAAACTCCGAAGCGAAATTACCCGAACCAACCGTCGGCAGCATACTCAAGAACTCCGAATCAATGTCCATCGAGTTTGAAGTTGACTCTTGCTGTATCTCGTATGACGATCCTGCTCGAACGCTCGATTCCTTCTCCTCCTCCGAGTTAGCGAACCTCGCTGCCGCTTCTCGTATCTCCGACCTCGATAAGTTTCTTCCGCCGTTGATCGCCGGAGGGTTTTCCGGGAAATTGAACTTCGCGTTGTTGCCTCGGAGGCAATAAAGAGCCGCGTCGAAGGCTCGCGCCGCCTTCTCAGGTGTGTCGTATGAGCCTAGCCAGATACGTTCTCTGCTGTTGGGGAGTCTGATCTCCGAAACCCATTTGCCCCATTTCCTCTTCCTCACTCCTTTGTACTTTGACTGCATCGAAGAAGAAGACGATCCTTCCATCGCAAATAAACCAAATCCGGTTCTGTAACGGTACGATTTCTTTTGTTTCCGGTTTAGCTCTGTTTCTTTCAGTAAGCTCTCTGTTTGTGTTCTTCAGTGTCAGTGTTGGTTGATTTTGAATTGGATTGATATGATTTGGCGCTTCAGAAATCTAATATATACCAGTGGTGAATAAGAGTGAGTTTTTGACTTTTTGTGGCGCGTAAAGAAACAAAAAGAGTCAAAACTCAAAAAGGTCAAAGGGAGCGCGTTTGTACTTTCTTTGGAACGGAACTCTCAAGTCTCAAATAAAACGCCGCAAAGTGTCAGGTGCGAATGGACACGTGGCGTTTATCTCAAGAGGGCTTAGTCTTTATTGTGTGTGGTCTGCGTGTACTAGAGAGACTGTTTTTGGGTTCTCTTGTCCTTGTCCTTGTTTTTCACGTGGATTCTTACTTCAACTCCTCTTTCGTTGTCAACGTTGAATATTTTCCGCTGCGTCTAGAGGATTCTGCTGCTTTAAGAGAATCTGAAAACGATTCTTGTGCATTGAAGAGGAGGAGAAGAAGAAGAAAATAACAAAGATTAATCATTGATGAATTGAAGATGATTGTTTAGTTACATTACAATATTACATTCACATTACATTGTGTATTGTGGTTGACTTGTTCTCTTTTGTTTTTATAAAGACAATTCCACAGGTTATATATAAATATGGGGAAAACAAGAAAAGTACAACAACATCAAGTTAGAATGAAAAGTCAAATCACTGTCCTATAAAAATGTATATATACCTTGCAGTATTTTCTTCTTCTTCTTCTCAGTTTGTTGTTTGCAGTACACATTAAAAAAACAGCTGTACTTTGCGATGGCCAGGAATGATCTCGATGTAAGTTGATTTGGTCTATCTGCATCTTTTTTTCCTTTTCTTTTCTATCTGTTAAATGAAGCTGCAGCAGAAGTGTCTTCATAATGTACTTTCCATGCATTTCCGCTGTCTGTCTCGCTGCAGGCTTGGTTCGTGGCCGGGATAGCTGCAAGATCTCCGTCTAAGCTCATTTGCTGCACTTCTGCTGATGATAGGATCTTTATGTTTTGCACGCAGTTCACAAACTCCCTGAGGAAACAAACAGACCACCATTATCAGAATTGTAAGATCATTATTGATTCTGAGATTTGTTTCTTAAGAGCTGTGTGTTGAATCTTTGATTGATATAGAGTTTTTTTTTAAGATCTAGAACTTACTCCCAAGGATCATCACCAACGAGTAATATATCGTTTTCATGATCAGTGTAAACGAGTTTCCAATCAGAGGTTAGCGGATCTTCGAGCTGCCCTTCGATGCCAAACATTCTTGCTAAGTCATGCCTAAGTTCATCATAGCCACTATAACGGGTAACATCTATTGATCTTCCTACTGACCCTCGTTTTTGAACCTTCAAGGATTAAGATTCACAATTTTCAGCATTTAACATTTAAAGCTTAAAGAGGCAAAAGATGATAGCTTTGGGAAGGGAGACGAAGATCTCTAACCTTTGTATATGTTCGCATTCGTTGTGTTTGATTCGGCCAGAGTCCACCACCATTCATGATGCCTGAATCATTGATGCCACCGACCTCATTTGAACATCCAGACTTAAAGGGGATGCTGGGAATACCAAATGACTGAGAACTGATTGCAGCACTGGATAGCTCTGTCTCAATGTCTCTTGGTGCGTTGCCGTAGTTGGGAACCAAGTTCTGAAAGTCCTTTTGAGAATACAGAGCATCAGAAGTTACAGCTTCGAGATTACTAGCAAAAGCTAAGTTGTTTCTTGGTTGATGAGATTGGCAATCTCCATCGAAACCAAATGATGGTAGTGGGAAAGTCTGTTGCTGCTGTGCAGAGCCAACAACATCAGGACAATACGTTGTTCCCGCTGTGGATACATCGATTTGATCTGTTACTGCGCCTTTAAATTTGAACTGTTCACCAGCACTCTTCAAATTCACCATGCCTTGATTGATCCGGTTGTCGGTTTTTGCATAAAGCTCTTGAACAGGATTACTTGCACGCTCAAATACAGATTCAGATGCAGATACAGATACCGCTTGTCCTTGTTGATTTCTGCTGAGGAAATTCGTCGGTGAAACATTATCATGCCCGGTGTTATTGGTGGAAGGCGAGGTTGAACAAGAAGGAGCTTCTCCATCTGTGTGACCAGAATGTGATCTTCCGGCGGCTACAAGAGGTTTATTATTCATTTGTCCCTGTTGCTGATGATTCACCTGAATCTGTGGAGGCTGCATGAAAGTTGAAGCTGAGAAGCTGTTATTACCATGCGCCAAGGGCTGCTGGTTCTGAGATGACAGAAGTTGTTGCAATTGATGGCTTTGTGGCTGCTGTAACGCCGAGAACTGTGGCTGTAAGGATGAAGTTACTGGAGGAATCGACTGCTGCTGTTGCTGCTGCTGTAGCTTCTGGAGTAGCTGCAACTGAAGCTGTTGTGAAGGACTTGGTTTTGGCGATTGTTGTTGCATTTGGAGCTGCTGTGGATTTTGGGACAGAGATTGTTGTAGTGAATGCAGAGAGGACTGTTCTTGCTGGTTTCTTAAGGATTGGCTACTGTTGTGCAATTCCAGTTGCTGCTGAAACTGCAATTCTTGTGCAAAGGATGTCATTTGAGACGAGCCTTTATTCCCTGAGTGTATGTTCTGGTGTGTCATTTTAACACCATTAGGGAGCATTGACTGCTGCTGAAGCTGCGACTGAGTAGTAGATTGGTGCGGATTTTGACAAGAGACTTGGTTAGCAACAGCACTCACATCGGAACCTGTGTTATAGATCCCCTGTTGCTGCAGCTGTTGGTGTGACATCTGTAGTTGTTGTTGTTGTTGTTGAGATTTCACCATGGCTGGTTGTGCTTGCATCTGTTGACTGATATGGTTAAGCGTATTTAGTTTGTTGAATTGGGAATTTGCGGAAGAGAGATTTGGGGATTGGAAGTTCAACAGCTTGGAAGGGTCGTTGGAAGCAAAATTGTTTGGTAGGTTATAAGATGAGAGCGCGGACGGGAGCTGAGGAGTAGCAGAACCTGACAGTGGATTGTTTTGCTGCATACTCATCCATTGAACTAGACTTAAACCAGGAAACATCGAACTCTGTGCGTCTTTCATCCCAAATTCTTCTCCCATCCAAGGCATTGCTCTTTTAAAAGCGTTTTCCATGTCCAACTCATCATCTGCAACAAACCTCCAAGGTTAGTCTCCGGAAACTAGTCAAAGATCTATGGAGACAGAAGAAGATGGAAAGCAATAAACTCACCTGGCATTCCCGGTTGCCTCGGGTACTTAGGTCTAAAAAATGGAGGAGGGCATATGTAAAAAGGAGTTATGACAGGTTCTATTTCCCATATGGATACTCGGCTTGGCCTATCTCCAGCTGTTGATTCATCCCATCCTACCTGTTTGAACCATGAAGGATTCAGGAATATATTCAGAAAAAATGAGCATCATAAAGAGTTTAACACAACTCTAATATACATTACCTGAAGATTACGCCATTGTGAGCCTTTCCATCTTACAGGGTCAAGATCACTAATACCAGTGACTGTACCCATATATCTGCGAACCCCACAATCTTCAGTCTCAAACATCATCCGGAATCGCATCCCCAGTGATACTTGAGCGTACAAAGCTTTGTTGTATTTGGCTAAAGGAACTACAAACTCTGAAGGACTTGCCCTTGGATTGAAGAAGATGGTAAAAGGGCTACTGTTGGCATTAGCATGAGCTGCAGCTGCAAGAATCCCAATGTGCATACTGTCACTGGATATGACCGATGAGGAAAGAGTCGGGGTTTGCCTATTTGCACGTCTTATACCCAACATCAGCTGTGATTTCTCATCTCTGCAAAACAGTATTTAAACCCAAGTGCCCTTGTGAGAAGAGGAAAGTCCATTTCTGCTTAGTGTTTTGATCTAAGAATGACTCATACCTTACAAACAAAACTGAGTCACCCGCGAATAGTCTCTTTGTGCTAACAAAAACGCTCCAACCTGTGGTAAGCAAGTGCCTTTTTGGTTGGCCTAAATTCAGATTACATCAAAGAAAGCAAATCAGGTTGAAGTTTTCAATATTTTGGACTAGTAAACCAATCTTGAGATGATTCAAACCTCGATAAATATGTCTGAATGTCCATGTAGTATCATGTAGATCTTTGGCTACAATCTCTTGTGCAGGTGGTTGCATCGAGAAATCCTATATTTAAGCATCCTCAGAACTTTAAGCAAAACGGATTCAAAGGATGAATCAAGAGAAACAAATCAGTTTGATGAGAGACATACAAGAGGAGGGAATATTTTCTCAGCTGCACGACGCGGTACAGAGAATCCACCGTGAGTGCTTGTGTCACTCGCTGTAAGAGTCTTGCAGAAAAACTCAGTAGGTTGTCTGTTTAGCTTCAAACCCATATCAGAAGCTAGCAATGCTTCTCTGTCATACTGTACACGTTTGATAATGGAGCAAGATCAGCTACAAAGTTGTCAACTTTAAACCAAGACACCACAAGCTAAACTCATGGAGATAGAAGATTCAGACCTTATTCACAGGTTGAAGAGTCATCTGTGCATATACTTCATCGGTTTCAGTATCAGCCTGATTCAGATTACACAAGTTATGATTAATCATCTTTCTTCTTCTCTCTCTCTCTCTTTCTCTCTGATTTTGAGTAGACAAGTTGGAGGGAAAAGAGGCTTACATGTAATGTAACACTGTGAAGCAAGCAAATCAGCTTAGAAGGAAGATTCGGGTAATTTGGTATAAAATCTGTTTGCTTCTGCATCGATGCTGCAACCTGAAAAAAGGTGAGGGGGGGTTCATTGAACAAATGATTGGTCAGATTGCAATAGAAAAAAGTTGTAAATGATCTGAAACGCAAGAAAAGAGGGGTATGGAACCTACTTGCTCGCTATGACCTTGAGGGAAGTAAACCACAAGACTTCCGACAGGAGGCAATGAAACCAAAGGCCCTGCACAAGCGTGCCATAGTTGAGAATTGATTGGCTTCTTCTCTCCTGTTCATCCATAATAATATCAGACCAAAAACAAAACATTCAAAATCTTGCAGATTGAAATTTTAATAAAAGTTTGCAGCATTAATGATTCAACCACTTCATTAAATACAGTGATAGAAGAAGAAGTCGATTTTTGGTGGCTTAGTGCTGACTCAAAGTTAAAAACAAAACTTGATGAACATGAAATGCAGAAAACTGTATTGAAATAAATATTAAAAAAGTCCCCAAGAAAAAGGATGAGAAAGAAATCGAGTAGAAAGCTGGTTGAAATACCTTCGTTGGAATTGGGAAGAAACCCATTTGAAGGAGCCTTCATGGTTTACAGAAGAAACAACGGAAACTTCAAAAAAAAAGAGAGCAAAACTTTATGTTTTATTTAGTTTGGTTTGATGTGGAGGGAGGAAACAGAGTTGTTGAGCACAAAATGAAGGAATCTGTTAGTATAGACAGAGCTCTAGTACTCTTGTAAAAAGGGGAAAAAGAGAGAGAGAAGAGCATGACAAACTAAGCAATGATTTTGGTTTTTCAAAATCATTCCGAAAAACAAAAGCCTTTTCTATTTAGTTCATAAGAGAATACTTGTTGAAGCTTTCAGACCCAAAAAAAAAAAAAAAAGTTTTAGGCTCTTTAAAAACAAAAGCTTTTTGTTTTCGTGTTTCTACAGATTCTCAAGTGTTTGTTTAAAGAAAAAAAGGAAAAAAAATTTGGAGTTTTTTTTGAGATTTTAATTACTAGTAAAGAGAGACGATTGAGATCGGGAGAGGGGGGGGATACATGCGAAAAGATGAATTATGCCCTCTGACGTGGCACCCCCCACTTGATGTCTTCTTCTTCTCGGTCCCACCTTCTTTTTTTTTTACTACACCTTTTTTACATTTTTCTTATACAAATTGTTTTATGTTGTCGATGGTTTTTAAAAATCTGTTAACTTTCCCTCGTTTTCTTTATAACTATATAGTTTTCTTCACTGATATGGATTTTTTTTTTAAAGATCAAGAATGTATAAATATTATGGACATTGTATTTTTTTTTTTTTATGTTTGAGATCTCGGATTAAGTTGTATAAAATTAATTAGTAGACTAACCGGATTTGTTGAGAAAACTAGTTATATATAAGGATTAGGTTCGGCGGATTGAGCAAGTGCAAAGCCAAATGAAGTATTTTTTTTATTACTATTTAAATAAACTAAATCCAAGATTATATAAACTCTTTTGTTACCATTAAAGATGTCCTACTTTTTTTCTTTATGTAACGATGATTCTTTGTTATTATATCTAAAAATAATAAAAGTTAGGGTTCATTCATCGAAAGAAGAAAGATAAAACTATATTTTAAAAAATAAAATTCGTATAAACGAACAATATCATAAAAGCTCACGCATATATGTTGATTGTTTTTTTTTTTTGGTAGTGATATATGTTGATATTATCATGAATAGATATATATATATATATATATGTAAGAAAATATTATGGATTGGTCCAAATTGGGACATGTCCGTATAATTTCATGAAAGAAAAAAAAACATTGGGAAAATATGTACTCTTTCTATTATAATGCATTAGGGTAGTAGTAATAGTAAGTAGCCAGTATTTTATAATTAGGTTGAGATTATTATGATTAGAATAAATATTCCCTTTTGATACGCAATGGAGCACCCACTAGCCGCAAAAGGAGGAGAACTTCACATGTTTACAGAGAGCTACGGACATCATTATACTCCAATTAAAAAGCTTTAGCCTCTTCATGTGTTTTTATTATTTTTCAGCCTAATTATTTAGTAAAGTATTAATCTTCTGATTAAATTTTTAATGTTCTTTCTTCTCTCTTTAATTTTAATCTATTAAAACTTAAAAGTGCTTTACAATTAATCTGGACGGAAGTAGAGTAGTTCCTTACTTTCAGCTCTCTACGTATAAATAGACTAATTGTTTTAGAGAGCCTTTATTTTCCCATTTTATAGAAATCCGAGAATATAAATTAACTTTTGTTTCTTGAAAACAGGTAATTTATTTATTTATTTCTGATTTAAATGAAAAAAAAATCAGTATACATGCATTTAGTGGGAAGGTTTTGACCTAATTATCACCTTTTTGTTTATTGATATTAATGCAGTATAGTCTATGTTTAGGAAAACGGAATTTAATTTGGAACATTTATATATGTTTCGTGAACAACTCTGACTCTTTCCAAAGTATATATTCTTTTACTGATTTTGTCAATACTTTTAGAAGATGATTGTTCGATGTATAAGTATAATATATAGTTTAACATATCGAGGTTTTTTTTTTTTTTTTTTTGTCGTCTAACATATCGAGGTTGTTAAACAAGAATACCGACTATTAGCCGTGAACTTTGTTTTCCTATAAAAGATTATGCATGAACTTACCCGATAGTCTATTTGATTTGTGTTTTTCTTATAATTTACAACATGTAAATAGATTAATCAGGCATCTAAATAGTTGTAAATGTTAAACAAGAGATGTGTTGTACATTGTTTTCTAAGTTCGAGGTGAAGCTATCTCAAGAATCTTGACTCCTAATGAAAGAAAACTTCCAAAAAAAAAAACGGAATGTAAGTAAAGTTTGAAGTTAGGTTTAAACATATAGAATCAACATTTCAAAAAGATATATGGGACGACAAAGTAAATCTCAAGAAGAATAAAAGTAGGCATGCTTTAATTTGTTTTTGCCTTTTCGGGTCAATATTAGCTGCGCGTGGAGAGTATATGTACGTACAAACAATTGATGTGTTTTGTAACCACTCCTCATCAAAAACGAATTAACCATCCTTAATAACACTCAATCATTGTTAATCTTTCTTTTTTCACCTCCCACTATTGACTTTTGTTCCTATATCATATAAGTTTTGATTTATATTGCATTCTGAAATGTTTACCTTTCCCCAAATCGGAATCGATTTGTTTTTGTTTTACGTACCTATACTCTCTTTTTTGGTAAAACGTACCTATACTCATGCACCATAATTATAAGGAAAACTTAGATTTATGAATTCGTCAATTTCTCCCACCGTGAATGTACAATGATTTACAAGTGATAGTCAATATATATAGGGAGAATATGGTGTTTTTATCTTTGATTTGCTACAAAAAAAAAAACAAAAAAAAATATTAACACTAAATAAATGTATGTGCACGTGAGGGTGGGTGCAGCATGCACGTGAGGTGTGGCAGACGATGTCGGGAGAGACAGGCTCTAGACTCCGACCGAGTCTTTCGGTTTAGCCAAAATGGTTTTGCTGTTGTGTGTGCCTCTGTGTCTCTTCTCCTCATCGTAATCACACACACTCTCTCTTGTTTGTTCTATTTTTTCCCAACCAACAATATATTTTTTCTAGTTTTTGTTAACCAGATGCATACTATCTTAAAACCTTATTTGCATACATATGCTAGTTTATGTTTCAGCAGTACAAACGGTACATATGTGCTAAGGACGTTGCAAAAAAAAAACAAAAACAAAAATATAACCATGGAATTCTGAACCTAAATAATATGGAATATATAGCTACGTTTTTTTATTAATATATATTTATCGACTAACGATAAAATTGAGATTGTAGTGATATGAATTGAACTTAACCAATCCTAAGTTGATAATACTGTTGTGTCAGATCGATTAATAAAGCAATCAACCATTAATCTCATCAGAAATAGAACTCAACATGAATGAAATTAACTATAACATCTTTAACAAAAAAAAAAAAAAATTAACTATAACATTTTCATATGGATATTAAATTTTAGATACTCGTTATTTGAAATAGTTGTTATACAACTTGTGTGGGTATAAGCCTCAGTTTACTTGGTTATTCACAGTTTTAGTTTTATTTTGCATGCTTGTTGTTTGTCAAAAAAAAAAAAAAAGAAGGTATTTTGCATAATTTTTAAGCTATGTCGACAGCCGAATTAATTATCTAGTCAGAAGAAAAAAAAAAAACAATTCTCTAATCATATATCACTCTGTCACCTCAACTTGGTTTTGGATTTGTTTATTTTGTGCGATCCAAATAATTAACTCAAATACGGATGAATGATGAATCTAACCCAAACCGACTCGTTAGTACATTAAATTAACTAACATAATTTTTGCTTAGTCCGAGCACACATGTACATGAAGGTTCCTATAGTTGTAACTTGTAATAAACGATATTTTTAATTAGCTAACACCTTCAATACGTACGGCCTTCTTCCAAAAAAAAAAAATCTTCAAAACGATATTACAGTTTCATATTATTTTCTTTTGACTAGAGATGATGTTGTTGGGCATAGAGATTATTTTCTTTTTCATAAATCAACTTTTGACTGGATTGTATATGAAATATTGGAGTACCCGAGTAGGTTTTAGTAAGACAAATCATTCAAGTGTGGTATGGATCGGAACTGTTATAATTTTTAGCAAGTTTTCTGAAAATCAATTTCAATATTATATTACAGTGTATTCATGTGGATTTCAAGATTAAATATAAAAATCGAAAAAAAAAATCAAATCTAATTTCGACAGCCAAGCATTTCATAAGTAGCAAGCATGCCTCGGTACTCGGCTGCAATTGAACTCCAATGTGACAAGGTTCTTCTAATGGATGGTAATTTACAATATCATTAATAAATATCAAATTAAATATACTGTGAGATATGAACCAATTATAATTCCTAACTTTTGCATTGTATGTGATCAAATACACACATAAGTTAACAAATCACGTTGGTTTTAAATAGTAGTACATTAGCATAATAAATCGAAGTTAAGTGTTTAAAACTTTCTGATGTGAGTTAGTCATGGTACTTTAAACTTTTTAAAAAATTACATAAAAATACATAAGATATATATATATATATATATATATATATATATATATATTTATGATTAACATGCCCACAATTCTACAGTTAATTATTTTCCTTCTTTTCTTGCATGTTTTATATGGTAGATCCACATTAATGAAATTATATATTAGTAAGTATAATTCGATATTTCTTACATCTTATTAAACGCCCTAGACATATCATATCAAGAACACTGTGTATTACGTAGGCAATAAAAATCAACATCAATACACATTTCCCATTCAACTGTTGCCAAGAAATTATTTTTGTCCACAAAAACTATATCAACATATAAACACTCGAAATAGTTTTATAGTCATTTTCCAGATATGTATGTAGGCTATCACTGTTAAATTATTGTTGAACAATTATTTTGTGTAAATTCACGAATATTTTTGCTCGTAATATTTTTTTAAAAATGAAAACATGTGGCTGCTGGTAATGAGTATTACATGATGAGGGATAAAAATTATAGAGAGATTGGTCAAACCTCGACAGCTTCTACATATCTAGAGACAGCTGCACATGTATGTCACTGATTGATGCATACATACACATTCACTTTGCATATACAAGTATATGTAAGTATTAAACTACTCTCTTATTGTAAATTCCAAAAAAAACTAGTATAACGTTGCTTCGTTTCTTGTCCAACACCATAATGATCATGTTGTAACTTCTTGATTTTGGGTGTAAAATATGCATGCTTACATTGATCATCACCGTGATCTATCGG